CCAAGACCTAAATCCATGGCATTGCATGAGTGGCAACAGTCCACAGGACCACTCCTTGCACCCAGACTCTTTACCTCTGAGGAAATTAATGGTATCCTTGACACATGCAAACGAGGCAAGTCTTGTGGTTCGGATGGGATCAGCTATGAGTTCCTTCAAATTGCCATGCAATCGGATCTTAAAGATCACATAGTTGACTATTTTAATTGCATTTTATTAGGCTCTAAACCCGTCCCTGCTGAGTGGCTTTTATCTCGCCTCACCTTTATCCCGAAGACTCCCGCCCCCATTGCTCCACAGGATCTTCGACCCATTGTATTATCCTCAGTTCCCGGCAAGGTATTCACCAAACTTTTACTCTTTCGGCTGAGGGCACACTTTCCTGCAATGCGAGCTGGACAATTGAGTAGTCTCCCAGGAGCACAGACCCTTGAAGGCTCATGCGCATTGCAACAGTGTGTACGACTCTCCAATGAATACCACCTTCCTTTAGTTATTGCGAAGTTGGATATAGCAAGCGCCTTTGACCATTTAGACCACCTTGCTATCTCTAAATTCTTTCAGACTCTAGGTCCACACCGTGAAATCGACATTCTTCTTTTCATCATTACCTATTCCACGGTTCTCATTAGTATGGCCGACTCTAGCTGGTCTCAGGACATTGATAGAGGAATCCTTCAGGGATCGTCATACAGTGCCGAAATTTTTGCTAGAACGGTTGACTGGTATCTAGGAGAGGTAGTTGACAATTGGATTGCGACAGAAGACACCTGGCTTAAGGATGAATTAGGTAGAAAACTTTTCAACATTTTGTTTGCAGACGACCTTATCCTTCTGGCCAACAGTTTTTGTCAGCTTCAGCGTATGCTTACACAAGTGAGAGACTGTCTTGCCGCAATTGGCCTTACATTGTCCCTTCATAAATGCCAAGTTCTTGCAGCCCCCTTTGTCCAGCATGAATCTATTTGCATTGATGGTACTGAATTAAAACAAGTTGACTGCTTCAAGTTCTTGGGGGTCCTCATTGGGTTCAAACTCTCCTGTCAAGCGGTACTTAGTGCTCGCCTAGCCATGGCTACTAACGCGTTTTGGGGACACTTTAAACTACTGAAACGACCGGCCGGTTCAATCCGGAAGAAGATGCATCTCCTTAATTCATACGTCACCAGTAAATGGCGATGGCTCAGTGCATGCGTACGACCAATACAGGCAGTTCAAAAAACCCTGAAAACCCTCCATACGTCCTTTTTGGGCTGCCTGTGCAAATTCAGTTCTGATCCGTTCACTCCACTTGCATTTAATTGGATTGTCCGCAGACGAGCCGCTAGAATGACCGCGCAAGCTCTTCAACACAGCAGATGGGAAGGCCTGCATGCCCAATCCTTCTGCCGATTTTGGGGGCACGCTGCAAGAATACCGGCATCACGTAACTCCCCAATCTCCATTGTATTAGGAATTAGGAACGAAGATTGGTTGTCTTCCTATGGTCATATTCATAAGCGATGCCTGGGATACTGGCCCAATGCAGCACGATTCCTCCAAAAACTTTGGGAAGGAGTAAGGCTAATAGGTGAGCCACCGTACTGGTACCACGCAGCAACGAATCGTCAGCTCTGGGAATCTGCCATTGCCAGGTGGTTAGATGTCAAGTGCCTCAACCCGCTTGTATATTACCCGGACCTTCACTCTTGTGACTTACACGGTCGAATGTTGCTTCAAGTTGGCGAAACTTTTAGGTTACTCCACATGCGTCACCCCCCCGTTGAAGAACCGTACCCTAGTTCATTTAAGTTTGTCGAACCAATTGATGAAGATACGGAAACGGGTAGTGTCGTCAATTTGCTCAGATGGGAGTTCACGATTAGCCCATGGCTCCTTCGGAGTATCAATACTTGCACCCTACGGCGACCTATCATGTGCAGTCATATGCCAGGGGCGAGTTGATGGCTACTGTACCAACATCCGGGCTGAAATAATTGCAGCATGTGAAGCCTTCCGTCTAATTAAACAACTGAGAGCAACTAATCCCGACATTCCTGTCATCTACCTCACAGATAGTGAATATGTACTCCAGATCTTGGATGAAACCATCCAGCCTACCTGCCACATCCCAGATACTAACAACCTCACGTCGTTGTGGCATTCTATTTGCGAGAGTGTGACTGCCAAACATGTACGAGCACATAAAGGACACCCGCTCAATGAACTTGCTGACCTTGCTGCCAAGGAAGCCTATAACTTTACGCACTTCCGTCGAGTCATTCGTACCGTGTCTTTCAGACAAGTGTATTTGCTTCGAGACCACCAACCTACTCCTGACTTTGTGAAGTGGTTGTAGCTGCATGCCAGGGAGTCATGAATGCGCGCTACAGAAACATGAAGTATCTGTCCGCACGCTGCGCTCGCCCATCGATGGACCTCTTTTGAGATTCGCTTGTAGCTGCACTGCATGCGCATACTCCTGAAGCACGCGCTCCTGTTTCAGTGGACGGTTGTAGCTGCATAGTCCAGTGCATAATCCAGTGTTTTTGTGACTTTGCGCTCCCTGCCACACTATTTGATCACACTGACCATGAAGATTTTCGTCGACTGCTACAAGCAGGTGGGTCCCCCGCAGGGCTGAGTGACTGCACTGGTCGTCGAGTGCAGCAGACACAGAGATTTGAGACCCCCAACATAGCAACATACGAAATTACTTTTCAACCCTTTCTGAGTTCCAGGTGACATTGTCGAACTAGAGGCTCCTAAAATTTGCATGCACTCTCCTTACAGCGAACTGCAGTGGTCCTTGTGTATGAGAGCAGGGTCAAACTCCGCGAGAGAATTACGAATGCCTCAACTCCACAGCCACGACCTCCCGAATAAAGGGGGGGGGGGCAGGGCGTCACAAAAATTGCCATGGCTCAGTGCCCTGGGAACTTGCCTTTAAAGCATGCTTTCACAATTGACGCAGTGAAAGCCCTACAACACAGTCCTTCACAGCCAGACCTCCGCTTCTGGATCATGGCTGGCCTTGTGGGAGCAGTCCTGATGGCGCTAGCTGCAATAATATGGAAATTTTGGTCACTTGAGAAGCGATGGACCTCGATGCATGCAGACTTGACTGCATTGCGCATTCCTGTGGTCCTACAGGACCCCACACTCTTTCCTGAGAGTGTGCGGAGAGAGGTGGAAAAGGCGCATCAATGCCTTTGGAAGCAATCCAGAGACACGCAGGCGCTGATCCTAAGAGTCCAAGCAGTACTTGAAAAACGACTGTATAAATACGAATGCATCGTAGACCGACTAATTCATGCAGTACATGACTTTGGACCCCTCACCGACAAGCTCCAGCATTCGGTCGATGCCATTTTCAATGTACTCGAGGATATCTTTCAGGAAGAAGAACGCCTCTTTGCTGCACATACTTCGCAATCCATAGCGGCACTGGACAGATTAAAATACATCGTGCATGAGTTCCTGGACAGATTTGAGAAGAGACACAGTGCCGCACACACGATGCGGCTGGACCTTCACAAAGCGGTGGTGGCGGTGCTTAACCAAAACCACCGAATGCTAGATGTGCTGACCATCCGCCTGCTGCCTGAAGTCCTTCGACTACATGGAGGTCTTCAAGAAAGACCAGATCAATTCCAACTACAACAAGCCTTGCATGAGACCATATCGCCTGTACTACAACAGCTTGAACTTCAACTGAGAAGCCGAGGCCGAGGAAGGTTGGAAGTCGACAACACGGTGGATACCACAACTGGCCCCGACACATCGACTAGAAGCAGAACACAGCCAAGTTCAAGTACGTCAGCAGCAGCGGGAAGTCATCGAGACGTACCACCACACTGGGTAACCCTAGATGATGGCACCAGCCTGCCTGTACAGACGGAAGATCTCATTGACGACTAAACAATCGGAGAGATTTCCCTTGTACCATAATGTGTAGCCTCATACTGCAATAACGACGCCTCCAACAGTAACCTGGCAACTAAATGCAAATAAATTCGGTGAACACTGTGCGATTGTAAATTACTTGCATTTTAATTTGTAATTCATAATTCAGGTTGACAGGAAGGCCCCAAAAATTGCTACGCAGAGATATCAAAAAGTGAGCCACGAACATCTGAGGAGTGCCTTGGAAGTACACATCGCCACACACTGCAGTGCGATGACCAGCCTCATGCATGCACCTTGTCACGGCATGTATGCTGACACGAGAGATCGATCGATCACAATCCTGCACATGCAGCTGCGCTTCATAGCTGAGCCTGCAGCCTCGTAGCACCAAGCCAATATCCATATACTCACGTGCTCCATAAAACCCGTGGCACCATGTCTGTGCTGATGGAGGACCAACCAACCTTGCTGACCGGCTTGGCCTATGGATGGACCCCGGCAATCCCCAGCTTTGTCTACGTGATGATGTTCCTTGGCGCAGCATGGATTGCATGGAAGTCAGTACACAACATGTTTGAGGACTTCAGAAGTCGTGTGACAAGAGACATGCACGAAGCCCTGGAGTCCTACAATGTGTCCCACAGCCATAGCCTCAACGAGACGGTGACCCACATAATTCAGGAAATTCATACGAAATTCGATGCAAACCCGTCAGTGAACACCGTCAATTTCGAGGACTTCAAGAATGACATCGCCCAACGCTTGACTGATCTAATTCAATTGGTACAAGAACTACCAGGACAATTCACTTCATGCATGGAGGAATCGCGGACAAAAATGCACAAGCAGGTGAAGACTAGTCTGCAGGAGATGATTGACTTATCCCAGAATTCACAACAATCGTGGATGGTTTCGGAGCTGCAGTCTCGCATCGACAGCCTCATCACGGTAATGACGGGAGTTCAACAGAACTCACGGTGCTTGCGGATGCCAGCATCACAAGCCGCCTCGATTCCTTCGATGCTGAACTGCAGACTGTGCTACGAACCACAGACGAAACCCTCAACAACCTCAAAGACCTACGCCTCAACGATACAAGCCAGTATCAGAGCATGGTTGCTGCAAACAAGCAGACTCAATCCATGTTATCAAGTTTGAGGACGGAGATTATGTCCCCGCTACAACAGCTACATGCAAATGCAGCTGGCCACTCACAGGTCCGCAGCATTGAGCAAAACCTTGACCTTGCGAATCAGACAGTGTGGCAAAATCAAGGCCATCTGAAAGGTCAGGACGATATGCTGGAAAGCCTCGGTGAAACGTCGGAGAAGATCCAGCAAGTCCTGCTGAAGCTCCAGACGCAGATGGAGAAGGTGATCACCCGCTTGACTCCACCACAACACAAAGCTCCACCACCTCCTGCACCACCGACACAGCCGTCTGACCCTCCAGCCTCAGAAGCAGCACCGAAAACTGCTCCAAGTGGACCAAGTACAGCATCCACGCCTTCACCGATCTCACCGATGCAAGGGAACCCACAGCCTGAGGTACCGATCCTGCGCATCCAAGAAGCACTGCCCCTGAGACAGCCGTTATCCTTGTTCCCTAATCTTCAGAACCCACAACCCATGCAGTGGACGGCCTTGCAGAATGATGCGCGGGCTCGCGATGCCTTAGCCTACCTTGCGCAAGCCTGTGGGATGCTGGGATGATCCCTTGTTGCACAGTAGCTTCAAGCATATGAGATGTCGCATTTTGCGAGGTTTCATCATAGGACTACGGGATAATTCACATTCTGCACACACAATACATAATTACTATGCATGCATGCATATCCCAGTCGAGCGACCGCGAGAAAAAAACATCACTTGCAGACCGCGTGCACCCGAGGACTTGCAGCAGTTGGTATGCCCAGGGCATCCTTCAACCACGCATCACTCTCCTAGCAGCAGTGTAGGAGTGCCTGAACATGAGATTTTGTGTGAGGGTGCTGCAGTGTTGATGCATGCTGTCAGCCACAAGCCGACTGCGCCCAGCCGGCTCAAAAACATGATCCCAGGCAGTGAAAGCACATCACAGCCGAACATGCGACATCAAGAGGAGCCTGTGGGCAAACCGCACGCTTCGGCCGTCGCAACCGAGTCGACCTTAACTGAGCCCCAAAAGTTCACGCTTGCTAGAGCACTCAAAGTGGACTTCTGCCTTGCGGAGTCTGAAACCTTGTGCTATGCAGTTAATCAGAAACACAAACGTGGCACGAGTGCGATTCATAGAGAAGATCTAGTGGAAGCGTGGGAACTTGTCCCCCTGAGTTACAAAGCCCATGTCCGAGACTTTGAGCGCAGTGAAGACGCGCGACCGTCAGTCATTTATTTAGGGGCTAGTCCTCGAAGTGGTTTCAATCTTTTGGGGGGCACGAGTCGTCATCCACAACTAACCCAACTTGCCTTACACTTCCTTAAACAACAGTGCCCATCGTTTCCCTTTACTACGATTGCCCTGAGGGAGGATGTGCCGAGAGCTCCCCATCGAGACCCGCGGAATGGTCCGTGCGGGACATTGTTTCAGGTCCTTAGTGATGTAGAAGGCGGAGGTTTGTGGATTGCGAACAGTTTGGGGGACGTTTCCCTGCAGCACGGCGACAAGATGATTGCAGGACATAATTATGAGGCGAAACTTCACCCTGTAATTTTCGATGCCCGTAAGCTTCTGCATGCCAGCCAACCCTGGGATGTAAGTAAGTCTCGCCTCGTAATTATTGCCTGGACAGTCATACACTTCCGAACCTTAGCGCCGAGTGCATTGCAAGAGTTGCAGCAGCTGGGATTCCCTGTCCCGACCATTCAGGATGCTGCTAAAGATGTGCCGATGCCTTGCGATTCCCTGACTGCAGTCCCAAAGCCTAAACGCTTTAAGCAATCACCCCTTGACTTCACTTTGTCGTCACAGCCCGCATCAGCAGCATCCACGCCTACAATGACCATTAGTCATCAGGGCGAGATTGTGCATCACCTTGATTGACTCTACAAGTCTGGAAGGACACACAAAGGCCTACTGGTTTTCTTGATCACCTACAATCGATGAATAGTATCACTTGGCCTAGTGTCCTTTCAATGGCTTTCCTTATAAATGTACGATGCTCTTCAACTTTAGTTAGAACTTTAGTTAGTGAGTTTGTTGAAGCCTCAACCCTGATGCACAACAAAGCCCTTACAGGTCTGAAGAATTTGCAGACACCATGACACTCCCATTGGGGTTGTATTAAATGCCATTTCCGGTTCCTTCATAGAGGGAGTAGGGCAACCACCATGATCGTATATGCCCCATGCAATTGTCTGCAAATAATTCAACTGTGCATTGCATGATAATCAATGCGATTTAGTCGCTGCAACACTGAATTTGTAATTTGTAATTTGTAATTAGGCAGAACTTTGACGAATGGATGATGCTGCAGGTGATTTCATGTACCACCTGCTTTGCTCCCACACACCATCACGAACAATGGACCGGTCGATCATTGGTTGAACCCACAAATCCCTTGCTCTCAACAACCTCCAAACCTCGCTATAAGTCGGTACTTGCTCTACGTGTCGTCCTGAAGCCCTGAACCTTAGCACCCAATTGGTCCGGTATCTTGCTAAGTGAAAGCCCCCACCCAAAAAAAAAAAAAAAAACCTCCCTACTTTCACATGGCTTCCTTACCCTGCGACCGCGTGTGCTGGATGGGAACAGGCTGTCAAAACTGGCCATTCTGTCGACACAACGTCCTGGTGCCATTGCAGAACCGCACGGTATTGTGGCTTTTCCCTGGTGAGCGAATGAAACGTGTGATTATTGCACTTGACTGAGCGGTGGATCACATACCATGATGCGTTCGAAAACCTGCTGGAGTGGAATTTGGGCATAACAGAATGTGGACAGCTGATGCATTGACACGAACCCCTGGATTGACAATTGCTGGGTGCCCTTGTGGAGGCACCTGACAGTGTGTACATTCAGATGCTGCCTCTGCTGCCTCTACTGACCTATCTTCCCACCTGGACAACCTGGCAGTCGATACATGAACGTTGGGTATGTTGCGCTCGCGTAGGGGTCGGGCAATGCACCCTTCATTCTCAAAGAAGAGAGAAGAAGAGCAATGGCGCTGGTGACCCCTCATGGCTGTGTTTTGGGAGATACATTGCGGTGTATTTTCCACAACACTTACTATCAAAGTGGACTACCTCGTTGGCCTTCATGCCTGTGTTATGAAAGATACGCTTTGCGTATTTTCCAGAACACTTGCTGCCCTGTGGACTACAACGTTAACATGCAGAGTTGTGAACGGATCTGAAGCTGAATTTTAATTAGATGCAGTCCCTGCACAGTTTGACTGAGTGGAAGATGTAGTGACAAAGTTAATTAGATGGCATTTTGCCCTGAATGCAAATTTTGGCGATTGTCCTTGATGGATGACAATGACAAATTGGTCAACAGTCCTTGATGGATGAATCTCACAAAGTGAATGCCGACAGTACTTGATGTACTTGGGATCTCCCTGCTCAACTTTGAAGGAAGAGCTGTTGCAAGAACTGATACTCGCCTGGACAATGACACAGGCAAATATCAGTCCCTGATTGAATCAGGATGAGAATTCACATACTCTGTCACATATTACCCTGCTTCGCGTCCAAGCCATGCAGGAGGCAAAAAATATCCTATACTATAGGGGTTTTAATAACTAGATAGGGGCAGGGTAGATTAGACTAGAACACTAGTAAGGAGCCACCGAAGCCATATTCAAAATCTTCAGGCCCTGACATTACCCTAAGCCCCAAGGTATGGGCTACATCTGGTTGATCTACTTCTGCTCTATGGCCCTCGCTTTCTGGTTCGCCATGACCTTGATGTACAACGGGAAGGAGGCCAATGAAGTGTCGCTTGAATGTGTGCAGGTATAGTAAATAAAGCCCTGAAGCCGCAGCAAGTTTGAACAGCACTACACCGGCTAACACCCTCATACCCAACTACCTTGAATGCTAGGCCTTCAAGCCAAAACATATTCAACCTCGAGCCTTTTAGTTCCCCTATACTTAGCCTCTAAACTTTTTGGGTTCTTACTGTATAGTTCGGTGGTAACCGGAAAGTTTAACCTTTCATTTCTGTGGCTTATTGGGGAAGTAAGGCCTAGACAGCGTAAACGACCGTGTGTCTGCGGCCTTGCTGCGAGGACCTCTCCGCCGGCAAGGTGCTTTCCGCATTCATGTGTGGCTCAGCTTTGTGAGGGTTCCTCTAAGGGTCCCTTTAAAGGGATCTATAGGGATTCTACAAGGGTATAGGGGTTAGGGTCCACCTGGAGGTTCATGGGTAGTTATAAGTAGGGTTATAGGTAGGGTAACTATATCAGGGGACTTGGAATACCGCTTATGACTACCCATGAACCTCGAAGTGAGGGCTTCTGGCCTAGGGTAGAGGATGTAGGGAAGCTTTGAGATCCAGGCGTTAATGTACAAGTCTTTGCAAAAGGGGAAGCACTGATGCCCTGAACAGTAAACCCGAAGCTTCAAGCCGTGAGCCCAAACCGTAGTGCTCTTGACAACTTCAGCAGGCTCTTCGTTTTCAATTCGGTTGGAGCCGCTTTTCACAGTCAAGCAGTGAGCTTTGTTTAAGACAAGCACTACGAATTCAGGAAACACAGGTCTCGTGATAGAAGACGCCAGGTCCACTCGTGCCATTTGCAACGGTACAAGGGGCATCTTTCTGGCCCGTCCAAACCCGACTTTGTTGAACAACTCCATCACGAATGTGTAGTGAAATGCGCTCCAACATGGGCGAATATCCTGCCGAGGCATCCTCACCGTGGGCTTCATGCTGCTCAGACTCGTCTTGGTTTGAAGGGCTCATCTTTCGATTCCTCGGTATGGATTCAATCTTGCTGTCGAGGTTGAGGTCGCTGGGGTGTCAGTGCCAGGGGCTTCAGAAGGAGGCTTGCCAGCCCGCCACCGCTGCTACTTGCAATCATCTTGAAAGCATTGTGGGTAAAGTTTAGGGTGCAGGGCTGAAGGTTGCCTGCAATCATGCACTATCTTCCAGGACGTATTATGAACCAGTGTACTCCATGGTACTGCAAAGCCCTCTTCAGAACCCCATTAAAGGAACACTGTTCCGACTGTCAAGACCCCTATGACAAAGAATCCGTGCCAGATGATGATCTCCCAGCGCCCTAAACCTTACAAACTTAAATCCTAAACCCTAGACCCTATAGTGCCGAAACCCTAGACCCTATAAGCCCTAAGCCCTAAACCCTGAATGTTTGAAACCCTAAGCCCTACAACACCCACACCCTGAGAATCCCTCAGTTTGTTGGGCGTCTGGAATCCTAGCTCCACAAGCTAGCATGAAGAGGGTCTGGAATCTAGGGCCGAAGATAATAGATCCTCCAAGCCTTTAAGATCTTAGACCCTCGGTTTGGGGGAGATGTGGCATGTCCGAATCGGTGGCTCAGATGTGACAGTCTTGATTATCACATGCTAGCCGTGTCGCACTCCAGAGCAGGTTCCGAACGCGGTCACTACAGGACAGCATCCGAAGGCATCATAGGAGCCTCGGTCACGCTCCTCTCTGCTCCCGCGTCCGAGCTGCTGTGATGCCCTCCAAGGCTACCCCAGTTTTCCTTCATATGCAGTCGTGGAGGTGCCGGCATCTTCGCAAAATCCCATATCGGTTGCTCCATGTGCCTTCCTGTGCTCTTCCGAGCAGATGGTCCATCAGGTGTCTGATTCCACACGCAGATGCGCGATGGCGAGGTTCTTTGTTTGGTTCTTTTGCAGCATCCTGCAGCAATCGAGACATTGCCGCGGGCTTACGGGTCCTGGTGGCGTCTGACATGGAAGAATCCAAGCACCAAGCGGCGATGCTACATGCGTTTCGGTCACCCGAGAAGCTTGCAAGGCTGAAGCGGATGGGGACGAGGAAGTCTTAGTCATCGTCCACGTCGAGACCAGGTCCTCTGGCGGCTCCCGCCGGTTTCACGAGCCCCACGCCAGGGTTGCTGTGGAGGACAGGGCGCCGCAGCGCCCCACTTTCCGTTCCAACCCGCTGAGAGGACCGCCGTGTTAGCTTGCCCAACACAGGCTTCCCCAAGAAGTTTTTGCTGCTGGGGTTATTGCAGAACTTAAACAACATGGATACCAGCCACCTACATGGAGCCGTAGGCTGTACGAGGCCGCGGGCTCAAGACAAGCTGCGCCATGACTTGATGCTTGCAGAAAGCGCTGGCGACAATGATAAGGATGAGAAGGAACAACCAACAAGCAGACAACCGGCTTGGCAGCAAGTAGCTGACAAAGACAAGAGAAGCGGCAAACTCCCTCTCACTCAGAGCTTGGAGTCGGGACAAGTGGCAGCCTTGCAGGTGGCGGGTGTCATCCTGACCATGTGGCGAGTCTTCAAGAAGGGTTCCGGAGAATTGCCGACGTTTGGGAGTATGCCTCAAACTGTGGCATCCTCCACAGCGTACGTGACGTCCTTCTTGAGACAGTCAAAAACATCACCATCAACGCTCAAAACAGTAGCAAAGAAGCCACAAGCGATGCGGAATTCAGGTGCGATGCGGACAGCCGCTTCGCCCTTGTCCGAGTAAGCCCAGACACCGTCAGACTTGTGTTGGTGACGACACGCTTCGCGCAAGGCCGCAAGGCTGTACACCCAGGCCCGCGGAACCCATGTCCTTAAACTCTTGCTCCTGGGCTATGCGGAGCTTTGCCTGCCTCGTGCGAGTGTGAGCGTCGAAAACCCCTACTCCTACTCCTACAACTGCTGCTGCTGCTACTACTACTGCTACTACTACTACTACTACTACTACTACCACTACTGCTACTGCTACTGCTACTGCCAAAGTCCCTGGGAAAACTCCAGTTGCTTCCACACGCTTGCAGTGACCCTTGTCCTCATTGGGCCACGTGCCGCCCCAGATACTGTGTGTTGCTGCATGCCGAAATACGTGTCCAGTGAGGTGACTGCTTCCGACTGTGGATAACAGAAGTAATCGCATCGTTTATTGCAGACTGTTGCATCTGTGGCAATGATTTTTTGGAAGCTTTCCGCCAAGCGGTGCGCGGCGTAATTACGTCGGATTGAATGTTGGCCTTAGCTTAAAATATTACCAGATGGGAAATCAGACCCGCCCAAATGGATCTATTGCCTGCTTTGTGTCAGCCCTCATACAGACTGACGGGATCCTTAAACCCGACACAGCTTAAGCCTTAAATGCCATACAATTTATATTTATATCCCTGAGCCCTGGAAGGAGGCCTTATAAGCCCCATAACTCATAACTTCACCCTAAACCCTAAACCCTAAACCCCTAAACCCTAAACCCTAAACCCTCATAACTTCATAAGCCCTGAGCCCGAGGATCGGGAAGATCGGTCCCGGCTTCGCCGGAGTGGCGGCGGCCCAGGCCTTCAGTCCCGAGGTTCAGAGTTTAGGGTCCCAAAGGGTCCTTTGTACTGTTATGGGGGATACTTCCCTAAGTCATAATAGTAATTCCTAATATGGAAACCCTACATTCTACAAAGGACCCTTTGGGGGTTGATTTAGGGTTTAGGCTTGAAGGCTTCGTCAGGAGATTGCACATAATGCAAGCCAATGCGAAACGATGCACGAACTGCGAAGCAATGCGAACACACGTGACTTAAAACTTCACCGGAACTGCGGCGGAAATCCACCCCGGAAAACGGAGCCACTCTCTCACGGATTCTTCGCACTTTCGATTGATTTTCGCATTCCATCATGGATTCGGGATTTTGGACGATTTTGGATCATGACTTCAAAAGTTTACACATTTATGTTCCTTCCATGAGTATGTCAACATGTGCTTCCATTCCCGCACCTGTGGACCTCTCTCTCGGGGATAGGCGTCGATGGCCCGCTTCTTCTACGTGGCCCGGGGGCCCAGACTTTGTTCCATTTTCGGACAGTATTATTGTGATGACGATTGAAGTGCCCTAGAGCCTGAACCCTAAACCCTAAGCCCACGACTTTGCAGAACATCCTGGAGCAGCGGCCTGCTAATGCCAAGTCATCCAGCAAGAAATGCTTGGTTTAGGGTTTAGGGTTGTTGACATGTAATCAAAGCGCTGCGCCTGAAGTCGGGATATGATGTGAAGCGCAGCAGGCTGGGCATGTGCACTGCAGACCCGCCTCAGAAAGGCGTTGTGGCTTCAATCCTGCTATTTGCGGAGTTATATTTCACAGCAAGAAGGAACACAGCGTCATGACAACTCCCCAAAATTGGCCATGACACCCGGAATGTCGCCCTGTGAACCTGGCGCTAGATCCGCTAGATCCCATGCAGATGTTACCACAGCCTGATTGCATTCTTCGCATGCAAAAAGTGTCGTGCACTATTTGTGCGCTACTGGAAGGTCAGTCATGAGTCCGTCATCCAGAAGCGCTCCGCGGCGGCAGAAGTTAGAAGCTGGGACACGCCCCATCGCATAAGCCTGAAGTTTGATGGTCGCACGGTGGACGCAACACTTCGTACAATGGCTGCTCGGGTTCTCCATATTGAAAATAGTATGCAGCATAGTGCCTTCCTCCAACCACCCGCCCTATTGTTATGTTGCAACGGATGCTTCGAGACCGGCCAGCCACATGCTGTGGTTTTCATGAACATTGAGATCCTTCCCGGCTGCGTCAGTCTCACCCCCATCCCAAAACTGCCGGAACCCTCACAAACCCGCAATCCCGGACCTAAAGCCCTGAAGCTTGAAACCTAAGCCCCACACCCTTGAAGCCTTAACCCTAAACCCTACATGAAAGGCCTGCATGACGATCGGAAGACGATTGGCCCGATTGAAACCTTGTCACTGGAGGATGTGCACTTCGCGCCCCTCGGCTCATGGCGGGAGAGTTGGGGTGGAAGGATTCAAGGTTGCATGCTCGTGTCCCTGACTTTCGGGCACTTTCCTGTCTGTATATCTAAATATATAGGCTGGTCGTGCACCATGCGGGACGAGCATATGTTTATTCCGTCTTGCTCTTGCTTGATGACTTGTTGGCGTCGGCAATGTGTGGAAATATGACATGTTGCTTTCCGAGATGCTTCGCATCTTCCTTCCAGTGCCCGCTTTTACTTGGCAAAGATGTGCAGTCGCAAGGTATCCCGCCCGCCCGGAGATGAAGATCTTGCATGGACTCAGCTTGACGATCAAGAAGGCGATTCAGTCCGGCGGTATTGTCTTGCACAGTTAGTGATGTGAGGAGATCACGATGCTGCCGGTGTACCTGCTATTCCTAGCTGCAACTGAGTATGGCGATCCCTGTTGGTCGACATGCTTTGGCACGTTCTCAGGCCGCATGTCACCGTTCCACATCTCTTTCCTGTAACGGGCCTAAAGCCGATTCCCCCGACATCGTCGATGTTGCGAGATTTTAGCTTTTGTTTTCCTCTTCCGTCAGATGGCTTGGGGCACCGGTGCGCAGCTTTAGGAATAGCCGCCCTTTGTACCATGTAGGTGTTTGAGCCAAGGCCGGAGTAAGTTAGCTGCAGTGGCCAGGGACAGAAAGTAGCTGTGGTGGGCGAGTCTGGCAGCGGCAAGAGCACGATCATGGCGTTGCTTGCCCCTTGGCACTTCAGCGGTTGGGCAATGCTGAGGTCTGAATGCTGAGCCATATCATCCCGTTATTGTCGTTCCATGCTTGTAAAGTGGTGGCATCATGGCCCCTGTGATGTCCTAGCCCCATTCTTATTTGTTGAAACATGGTTTTGTTGCTTAAGAACCTAATTCAACTTGACCCAGCCAACATGTTCGTGGACTGCGACAGCATGCAGTGCCTTTACTTCCAGTCGTACCCCTGCAAGAAAAATGTGTGGAGTATGGTGGCGCTGCCAACGTCCGAGCAATCCTTGCGGACGACCCATATCAAAGCCTGTACATTTCCCAGTTGCGAGAGTCAAAACTTGTCGAAACATTAGACCCTCAACCCTTGAGGCTCTACTGTAGTCGTCTGCAGACCTCGAATGGTATTGCAAAGTGAGTGTGAGCGTCGGGAAAAAACTTTAAAACCCTAGAAGGCCCTCGACCCTAGCTGAGGAACGCTTTTACGACCCGCAACAAGGCGCAGTAAAGATCAACGGTGAAGACTTGAGGAGCCATGGCGCGCTTTTTGCAGAAAGGCTAAGCTTTAGTTCCCCTAGCATACTGGACAAGTGAGCTTGTATCAGGGTTGAAATAGGGCTCTTTGGGGTTTCGCATTACCAGATGAATGTAACCCTAAACCTACAGTAGCAGCCCAACAGTTGGAAACCCCATAGCCTCAACCCTTGAGAGCAATGTATAGGGATCCCAGCACTAATTGTCCTTAATCCGGTTTCCAACTTTTGGAGGTTTACTGTAGGCAAAACTCTAAACCGTTTGGGTCCCTGCAGCCACCAGTGGTTTTGCTCTGTGGATCTCTGACGGGTTTGGGATTTGGGTTCCGTGTTTTCATGGTCTGACAAACAGATGCTGTTTGGGGTGTGAAGTTCGTGTTGTGTATGACTGCAAGCCGCCCTGGCCCATACACACACACACACACATATATATATATATATATATATACATATATATATATATGTATATGCATATACGTTTAGTTTCTACTTCGCAATAGCAGTATATACGAGGCCCGCTTCTGCTTTGGAAGATCTTCTTCCGATTCTGGTTTCCTCATGCAAAAAAATCGAAGCTGAATAGTCGCAATACCCCAAACCCCCCCCAAAGCCTTAAACCCTACAGTCCCTAGATCATTAGGCGGATCTCTCGAGGAACCTCAACATCGAGTCATACCGCAAGCAGATTGGCTATGTGGGCCAGGACAAGCTTTATCGCCCTGAGCTCACGGCTTCAGATTTCGGAGTTTCCGAAAATAGGCGACCCCAATATGGTGCCCTTAGGGTTTAGGGTTCAGGGTTTAGGGTTTAGGGTTTAGCATCCCTATTATACGGACTCCAAGATAAGGTACCCCTAAATTTTGGAAACTCCCATTTGGACATTAGAGTTTGGTAGGAGGCTTTAGGTTTAGGGTCTATAGGGTACACCCAACCAACAAGCTTGTGTACAAGAAGGGTACACCCAGGACCCTAAACACCAAACCCACGCCCCTAGACTCGTCCTGCCTTCACAGCACCGAGGATAGATAGTTCCTTTTGAAGATGCAGAAACTGAGCGCGTGCAGGACAATGGCGCTAAATCCTAGCGGCCCGAGCACTCTAGTGTTATTATCGGTTTTTGCTATTGTTACTAGTTACTAGTGTTATTATTAGTTTTATCATTACTGCTATTATTGGTATTATGGGTACTATTAGCAGATTAGCAGTTAGCAGCTTTACAACTTCGGGCAAAGCTGCGAAGCGCGAAGCTCGCTGAACTCTAGCAGGAGCCCTGTGAAGGTCTCTAGAAGGTTAGGGTTTATTCTGGGGTTTGGGCTTTAGGGTTTGTATACGGAGTCCCCAAGTTCGGGATTTCTATGAGGGCTACACTACCATTTGGGTCCCACATTGGGCTCAAACTACCTGAATCCTTCCTTACCGAAAGTGGTTGGGATTGAAACCGACTTGTCGTACCCTGCCGTGCGGGCGTTTTTTTGCGAAGTAGGAGGCAGGACAACCATCTCTGAAACCCTAAACCCTCGCTTTCTTGGCATACTCGATGTTGGAAGGCGGGCACTGTAGACACAACAGATTCTCCGGTGATATGATCTATTGCTGTGTTGGTAAGCCCTGTGGTGAACTGGTACAAGCGAGGATCGAACTTGATCAACTTTTCACACCGACTTCGCACCTAAGAACCTCGCCTGGCTGTGTCCGAGTTGTGAGAGCGTACTCGCTTATGCCCTTAAGCCCTAAGCCGTAGCTTTGGGGCCGAGCTGGGTTCCCGCTTCGAAGGCTCGGAACTGACATGCGAAGGGTGCCGAAAGTTTAGGGCTCGGGGCTTATAGGATAGGGTTTAGGGACATTTAGGGCTTCGGGTTTTGGTTAGGTCGACTGCTAGATTCCGTTCGTAGAGGCCGTGCACAGCTTGCTGGGCGAGTGCGAAGACGCTCCCCAAACCCTACCGCAAAACCTGAAACCCCCATAAACCCCCTAAGCCGGATGGGGGCCTTCACCCCCAACCCTAAACCGTATGAAAGCCTTCATCGTTTGAGGAGCCGGTGCTTTTCGCCACAAGTGTGCGTGCGAACATCCTCCAGGGCTGCCGCGATGCTACGGAGGAGGACCTCCTCCGTCGCTTTAGACCTGGGGGTCCCCCACAACGTCAGAACCCTTAAGGACATATTATAAGATCCCCATTTATATTGGGATCCATATTCTGAACGATTCGAAAGAGGTTTATTCGTTAATGAAGGAATATGTCCCAAATTATGGAGAGATCCATTTTTTATAGGTATGTTCCGTAATTGAGGGGTTTTGTGTCTGGTTCAGCATGAAGGTGCATTCACGACCGTCTCGGTTGCATTCCCCGGTATCGAGAAATGTTTGATAGCGTGAGACTTAAATCCTAAACGCGTATACCCCTAAACCTGTAAACCCCCCACACCCCCGAACCCTAAGCAGCTAGACCCCCAAAAACCCCAAACTTCCTAAACACCTACACCCCTAAACCCCAAAGCCAGGGGTGCCGCAGTCTACATGCCTGAGAGAGCCTACATAACCTCAGCCTCAGAGCCTCCAAAAAGGGGACCTTCAATATTTCAGTGGGGTCTTGGGTTTAGGGAAGACTTAGGGTTTAGGGTTAATGTCTAGGATTTTGGGTTAAATTAAAAATTTGGATTGAATGATGGCATTGACTGTTTGAATAGAGGACTGTTATATTATAGGAGTTGAGGGTTACGTAATGGTCTTGTCCTACGGGTGCCCAAGACCGTATCAGCATATAACGCGGCCCAAAACCAAAAACCCTCTTCTAGCCGAGCTTCTATACTGCTTCCTCTGGGAGGATTTCGAGGCAGCTGCACACAATGCCCAGCTGGACTTCGTGAAGGCATTTTTGCACACAGCCCCCAAACATTTAAAGGACCCCAAACCCTACACCCCGACCCTTAAAGCCCAAACCCTCCTAAAGTTATAAGGTGTGAGATCTCAGACGCTTAGTCTAGGAGGCCCGGTAGACGAAGCTTCAGGGTTTGCGGGTTTAGGGTTCAGGGGTTTAAGGATTAGGGTCCCGCGAGTCGGTGCACAGGGTTCTTCCAGCCATCATGGAACAACTTAATTACGGAATATACCTTGCAGTATAGGCGCCTTGTATTATAACCCTAAACCCTAAACCCAAAGCGCCCTAGACCGAAGGCACAAGGACCCAAGCCACGATCTGAGTCTAGACCAAATGTAGGTAGGGCCAGGGTTTCTTAATCAGGTTCCTACATTAAACCTCAAAGCTTCAACGCTTCAGCCCGAAAGGCCGTAATCTGAACGCTTCGGCAGACGGAAGAAGGGCCCTCCAAAACTGGGCCTAAAGCTTAAACCCCAAGCCCTAAGCCCCAAGCTCTAAGCCCCAAGCCCTTTTCCCAAACCCCAAGCCCTAAACCCTACCCTCTCACAGCTCGGACTTTGTGCCCTTCGCCAAGTGGCGCAGGCACTTCCCGAGCAGTTCGACACATACGTGGGCTCCGGAGGGTGGGTCTCTGAGTTGAGACGAGCTTGGGCTTAGGGTTCAGGGTTTGGGTTTAGAGGTTCTGAGTTGATAACTTGGGTTGGGTTTGAGAGGTGGAGTTTTCAGACAACTTAAGTACCCTCGTTTTCAGAAGCCTGCCCCGAACCCTAACACACCTGAACGCTAAAGCTTGAACCCTTAAGCCGACAGCTGAACCCCTAAATACGGAACCCTCAACACCAAAGCCGGAACCCTAAACCCGAAAGCCTGAACCCTAAAGCCTAAACCCTAATCCCGGAACCCTTCAGACTAAAGCCTGGTTTGACAACCTACACCCTAAACCCGGAACCTTAAACACCAAATCTTGAACCCTACAGCCTAATCCCGGAATCCGAGACACTAAACCCTGGCACACGTGAGAATCGCCTTTGTTCTCTTTTCACACCGACTCCGCCCCTAAGAACCTCGCCTGGCTGTGTCCGAGTTGTGAGAGCGTAAACCCAAAGCCAAAGCCCTAAGCTTCAAACGCCCTCAACGCGGATCCCTACCCTATACTCCTATACTCTAAACGCTGAGCCCAAAAGCTGGTAGCGAAGAGCCAGCACCCTAAACCCTGAAACCCGAAACTACTAGACCCTAAACCCCAAACCCTAAAACCCTAAAACCCCTAAAACCTCTAAACCCCTAAACCCTAAAACCCCTAAAGCCTAAAGCCCAAAGCCCTTAAAACAGAGCCAGAAGGTCTCAGTTCTCGGGAGGGCAAAAGCAGCGCATCGCCATTGCCCGGGCACTGCTGAAGAAGCCGTCGATCATGTTTTTGGTGGCTTGGATGGATATATATATATATATATATATATATATATAGGATTTTTTTAGGGGTTTGGGGATTTACGGGTTTAGGGATTTAGGGGTTTAGGCGTGTAGGATTTAGGGGCTTAGGGTTTTGGGGGTTTTGTAGGGTTTGAGGGTTTAGGGGTGCGAAGCTTTAAATAGTAAACGATCTGCGGGTTTAGTCGTGTGTCTACCTGACATGAAGAGCCTGGGCTGAAAAAAGTGTGGCATGTGCGCCAAGGACGAAGCCACCAGTGCCTTGGACTCGAGCTGCGAGAAGCAAATCCAGCAAACCATCGACAACTTGGGCAAGTGCCTTGGATCCGATGGGGGCTTCCCTGAACTAGAAGATTTTATTGTTTCGGGCAGGAGCCCTCAGAGGGGTCATGCTTGCGAGAGCCAGTTAGCTGAGACTCTTAAGCCCCAAAACCCTCAACCCCGGGCCCCGTCCTTGGTAAGTTGGAAGGACCCCAAACCCTGTGTCTCTCCTTGCGTTCTTGAAGAGCCCCTCCTAAATCCAATGTTGCCGGTCTTCGGATCCCCGAAGCCTTCTGATAAAGCCCTAAACCCTGAAGCTTAATCCTTAAACCCTAAACCCTGAACCTTAATCCTTAAACACTTAACCTTATGTCCTATACCTCAAATCCCACACCCCAACCACACCCTAACACAAACTCTAGGAGTACTTGGCTCGGCAGCATGACGATCGTCAGTATCGCACATCGGCTGACCACCGCGCCGGGCTCAGACTTGTAGCTTTCTGGTTGGGGGTTTAGAAGTTAACGGTGTTGGATGCAGGGTTTAGGGTTTGTGGGTTTTGGGGCACTCCAAAATTTACCCCTTACTAGAGCTCTTATGGTCCTTAATTGTGGGTAATTCTAGGTTTAGCGTTTCGGGGATGTGGGGTCAAGTGGCCGAGGTGCAGAATTCGGATCTCATCTACGTCCTCGAGCAGGGTGTGGCTCCCTGGCGAGCAAGCCCCCGCAGAACCTCCGAAGCCAAGGCTTTGCCTCAACTCCTCATCCTCAGCTTAATGTAGGAAGCTGATTAGGCAACCCTGGCCCTCTAACCCCAAAATATTCGGGTTCATATAGAGAACCCGACTAAAGACCCAAGGTTTCTTGATCAGGTTTCGACATTATTCACTGCATCGGGCCCCTGTAAGCCTTCAAGCCCGGCCGAAGCACCACGAAGTCCTGGCGCGGTTCGATAGCCCGAGAGGCAGTCCTAATCTGACAAGGACCCCGAAGCTTCGATGCCATAAGGGAGTTTCCGAGAATAGGGGATCCTAATATAGTACCCTGGCGCCCTAAATACTAGGATCCTTATCATAAGGACCCCAAAATAATGTACCCCGAAGTTTCGGAAGTTTAAAGACCCTTATACAGCCTTTGAAAGGAACCCTTATAGTACCCTTATAGTACCCCTTTTAAGGAGCCCTAAGCTACCCCTAATTTTCGGGAAACTGCCATAAAAGTTGCAGCTCACCTGGAGCCTTTCGTGGTCCCGGGCCGCCGAGGTTGCTGAGTGCGGAAGCCACAAAGAGCTGACAGCCCAGGACCGGCCTTATTGGGTTTAGGGTTTAAGGTTTTAGGATTTTAGGGTTTAGGGTTTTAGGGTTTAGGGTTTAAGGCCTAAGTTACTTCCACGAGTCCTGCCGCTCTGACATCCGACATCCAGGCGGGCATATACAAGTCTGTGCAAAAAGGGTTTAGGCCTTGCAAACGCAGAGGTGGTCTCACGTGGTATTATGAAGATGTCGATTACTTTCCTGGGTTCTTGTTTTGGGATTTAATTTCAGTTACCATAATATATAGAGTTCTAAAGAAAAATAGTTTTCCCTTCACAAGAGCCCAGTCCTGGAGTGTCTGGCTCAGAGGAAGGCGGAATCTACCAAGCGCTGGCAGCTGCCCAGGGTGCCGTCCTGGCCCGCAAGGTGCCGGACAAAAAACCGAGGGCTTCATATAACCCAGGGCTTCGGTACTTCGCCCTGCCTGCAGGAAAGGGGAAGGGGTAGGGTTTAGGGTTTAGGGTTTAGGGTCTATACTTTCGTAATCTTTCGTAAAGAGGGTTTCTTAGGTCCTTGTTGTAGGTATTAAAGGCCCCCTACCCCCCTCCCTACCCCATTCACCTTTCTCAGATCACCGGTGAGCTGGCCCCGAACGCCGACGAGGCGCAGGGCAGGGTCCACACTACGGGTGTTTGAATTATTCGCGAGAGTACTCCCCTACAGCCCTTTTTCCAGAACGATGTAATTTACCGAATACCTTGATTCCAGTAAACAGTAATTGTCTACCTATCAAGGCCCCCTGAACCTTGTTAGAGAAACCCGGTAGAGACCTTAAGGTTCTGAAGCAAGCCAATTCCAATTCTTAAGGCCCCTACATCGCCTCTGCAGTGCTTGTCACGATCTCCTTCTCGGGCATCTTTTCTGGGGAGGTGTTGGCGGTCCCATAATAAGGGTTGCTACTACTACTACGACGACGACTACTACTACTTCTACACTCTACTACTACTTTGGTACTTGTTCAAGCGGGGCATTGGGGATCGCATGTAACGAACCATCGTCAGTGACATGTCGCCTGCACCGCGGAACCGCAACAGTCCGACAAGTGGGAGCCAAAAACTACTACTATATACTACTACTATATACTACTACTATATACTACTACTATATACTACTACTACTACTACTACTACTACTACTACTACTACTACTACTGCTACTACTACTACTACTACTACCACTACTACTACTCCTGCTGCTGCTGCTGCTACTACTACTACTACTACTACTACTGCTATGATAGAGGGTCTAGACTTTGGGGTTCAGGGCTTAGGATTTCGGAGAGGCGGACAATTTGCAGGCACTTCGGAGAGACCTCGTTCAAAAAGGATTTCGGAGAGGTTTGAAGATGCTGACAACCCAACTTCAAGCAGGTGGAGGGCAGGTTAGGATTATCGGATGAGACTTTTGTCTGCCAGGCGGAAGTGCCAAAGATCACGTCGCTTGCCTCCTATTGTGTTGTTGTTATTCGTGTGTACACACGCAGACATGCACAGACTGCGTGCAGAAGTTCATAAACGTTTTTCTGGATTCTCATATATGTTTAGAGTCATACGCATATGCATGTATGTATACGTGTGTATATATATATATATATATATATGTGTACATATACGCGTGTAGAGAGAGAGAGAGAGAGAGAGAGAGAGAGGGCTGCGATCATGCAGCACGCACACGAGTGCCCATGCAGACCAGACAGAGCGCAAAAGCACAGTTTTACTTTTTAAGCGCGGCAATGAAGAGCAAGCAGGACACCGACGCAAGTTGACGTGTAACGTTGTTCTGCAGCATCCGGGGAGTTGCTAGGCTCTGTGGATACAGCGGCAGAGAGGCAGAGATTACACTAGGGCCACAAGAATAGCATACTTTGTAGCACAACGCATCAGCACGGCATCATGTTGTGATGGTGAAAGGCTGTGAAGATGTGGTTGAGGCCAACTGGATGCTTAAGGCATGCAAGTACACAGCAGGTACGCACAAATGCGCAACGGTATGCATGTGTATGTATATATATATATATATATATATATATTATATTAAGTTAGATTAAGTTATAGTATATGTTTATATATACATATATATATATATATATATATATCTATATATGCGCCTACAGGTAGGTAAATTGGAGTCCGGGACATAACTAAGCCTCCAACGACACCCAGGCCGAAGCCATCCCGAACGGCGAACAAGCCGGCGGAGGCGCAGTGTGGGAGTTTGGATCGGCATCTTGAAGTGTTCTCTATGAGAGTTCATTAACATTCAAAGTGCAAATAAGGTGCGGGACTTCTAAATGGCTTAATTTGGGCAGTTTCACTTGCACAGGCGCATAGGACACCATGACCTTTGCTGATTATGATGTGGTGTATTGACGTTTCTTTAGCACCTCGAGCGGCCATGGGCACTTGCGAATGATTGGGGCCTGCAGCCACAAGCGGTACATCCCAAATGGGGATTTCCGAAAACAGGGCATCCTCATATAATACCCTAAATAATAGGATGCTTATTATAAGGACCCCAAATAAGGTACCCCTAATTTTCGAAACTCCCAAATACCCACTGTTAAGCGCAATCAGAGCTCTACGGGGACTCCTCTGGGCCTCCCCTCTTTTTCTCCACCCGATCAGCAGGTTTGCAGATACCCCGCTGGACCCTAATCTCACGCCGTCTCACGCCCTATGGTCTGGGGTGTAGGGAGTAGGATGACGCGGGGATCCTTTGTTTATGCCCCAAAAGAGCGCTCGAAGCCCTTGAAGGACCTAGAAGACAAGGAGGCCGAGCGTCAGAAGCGCATCGCCAAGAGCTACAAGGCCCGTCAAGGGAAGTGCCGTCTTTACCCTAAGGCCCCAAAGTAGTTCCTTTTTGGGGGTTCATATATAGAATCCTATAAGGTAATCCTCAAAAGGAACTACTTTGGGGCCTTAGGGTAGGCCTAGGCTTAGGCCTGACGGCTTGCAGGGTTTAGGGTTGAATGAGTTCCTTTTTTTTTGAGGGTCCGGGTTTAGGGTTGCGGATCTTCGAAAGCCACAAGTTGGGATCATGGCCTCGTGAGCCGTGGTGAAAAACATGGAGCTGCGTTCTGCCGTCGCCCTCAACCCTAAACCCCGTGACCCTAAACTCCAAATCGTAAACCCTGTTCCTGGCATCCCAAACCCAAAGCCCAAAGCCCAAACATTGCTTATCCGAACTTACCCTGCAATGCGGGCCTCGTCCTTGCTAAGTAGGGAAAAAGTACCCCTAATATAACGGCCTTAATAATTAGAATAGGGTTTTGGGATATATTATACTATAATTATCCCCCAAAGCCCTATTCTAATTATTAAGGCCCCTAAGGCCAACTGCTTGTTGCAAGCCTTGTCAGCAGAGGTTCCCACGCTGCGCTTGCTCAGCTGGGGCCCTGGACGCGGATTTGTGAGGGATCTGGGATCCGGTTTGGAGAGTGGGTGCAATGTGATATGAAGATATATGAAGTCATCTTGAGCGCTATAGACGAATTCAGTATAAAGCACAGTGGCATAATGTTTGTTGACTGTTATGATATGTTATCACATAATACCACTGTTTATACAGTGACATGACAGAGCATGGCACATTATAGCATGAAAGGGTCAGGATGTTGTGTACAGGACGTCTCGACTGCAGCTGTCTAACTTGTACGGTTTTCAAGTGACCTATAAGTCCACTAACGCAGAGGCCTGACGCCGACCTCATAGACTAAGGCCGCCACAAGATTCCGGTTGAGGAGATTTAGGTTTCATTCCTTACTTGGAGGTTCAGGGGTAGTTATAACCCCTAATACAGGATATAAGTATAGTTACCCTACTTATAACCCTACTGTTAGCTACCCCTGAACCTCCAAGTAGAAACAGCAGACTTGCAGCTGGGCATTGCTTAAAACATTCGGGAAAGAAACTTACCCCTGGGTAAACCCCTAAACCTTAAACCCTAGACCCTCCCCTGGGTAAAGCTCCCCACCCCCCTATATAAGCCCTGAACGACCAAAAACCCGAAAAATCCGAAGCTGAGGCTTCTCCAGACCCTACTGGTGCTGCTTCGTGCCGGGGCTGTTGGCAGCATTGGTCGGGAGCTTAGAAGCATCGGCAGTTCAGGCGCTGCGGGCGGACATACCATATACATAGCAACGATACTACGCCCCCTCCTCTGCCCCAGCGCCGTGAACTAACCCCAAACCTCTAGTCCCAGAGCGGCTGAGAGCTTAGGATTGCGAGTTGGCGGGTCCGTGCATCATAACGCTAGAAGCCTTAAGTTCCTAATCGCAACGGCTCAGGTGAGTGGCGCATGCTTCCCGCTGATGGGTGCCTTCGTTCTGGTCGATGCGCTATCGGCTTTGATGCAGGGGGACAAGGACGGCTCGGCGGCAGAGTAGGGGAGGAAGAACTTCATGGAACATCGCGAAGCATATAGCGGACTTAGTATGTATTCGTAGTGTAAGTATTTATGATATATGTTAACATATCACATCACGGGACATCCACGCCATGTCACACTGGTAAATCCAAAGTGCATGTTTTTATGTTCGGTTACAACTCTGGCATGTGATATCTTGTTACATTGAACTGTATTGCCTTGTATTGTACTGTGCTATGTTGTATCAGGTATCCTGTCATATGCCCGCAGAGTGGGCAATGAGATGCTGTTATTCTTTCCTGGATGGCTACTTTTGAGCATGGCCTTACTGGAATCTTTCGGTCGAAAGAACGCCAGTATGGAAAAGAGCAGCTCACAGAGAGCCATGTTATCATATTCTTTCTTCCACCATACTAAACTACATGTTTGTGCAGTGTTATAGTAAGGCAGACTATACTCTACTGCATAACAGTACACTATGCTTTGATTATGTTACACTGGACTTCATTGCGCGGAATAGAACAGGCACATGACACCGAAAAGCCTAAGCTTCGCGCAGCACGAACCTGCCTAGTCGCAGCTTTGATCCTGCAAGTCATCCAAAAAAGCCATAAGCCCTCGTTTGCTTGGGAGGAGAACATGAAGTCCCAGGCCGAAATGGCTGCCCTTTGGTTCGTGCCCCTTGGACTTTCGGGTTTGGGGTGTAGAGGGTTTAAAGGGGGTTTGGGAGGTTACGGGGCTTATGGGGCGTTAGGGGGTTCTGGGGTTTAGAGTTTAGAGTTTAGGGGGTACAAAGGGCTGGCACGCCAACCCTTAGAAGCTCTTTTGCAACACGGGGATTGACAAACCCTAAGCCCTAAAACCCTGAAATCACTTTCCGTCACTTTACCTAAGCCGCTCTAAACCCTAAACCCTGAACCGGTTCTTGTCAGGATCGTAGGCGTCGCCCGCTGCGTCGCCTCGACCTTCCAATTCGCCTGCTTCGGGGCTATCGCGGAGGCATGCGGGGATGTGACAAAAGGGGCTTTAAAGAGTTCAGGGTGTGGGGGGGGGTGTGGGGGTAAGGCTTAAGAGGGGCTTAGGGTGTGCAGGTTAAGATGTTTGGGTTGAGGGGCTTTGGGTTTAGGGTTGAGGGTGTAGAGTTTAGGGTTCAGGGTTTAACGAGGGGCTTACAGGGTCTTGTATGTATTTATAAGGCTCTTCTGAAGTTTGAAGGGCCCTGACCCTAAATCCTGGCTTCGTCTTTACTAGGGCGGAGGGCAAAAAAAGGTCTTATGAGGGTTCTATCTGGGCTTGAGGAGTTTAAGGCTTTAGGAGGTTCCGGGCTGAGCTTTTTGTGGGATTTGGGGTGCCGGTGTAAGATCTAGGGTTTAAAGTTTAGAGTTCATAGGTTTTGGGTTTGGGTTTAGGGTTTAGGATGAAGTTGTCACGGGTTTTAGGTTTGGGGAACTATAGGAGTCACGTAGGGCCTAAGTTTCGGATTGCGGTTCGGGTTTCCGTGGCCGTCGCCTCTCCCTGGCCGGCCTCATTATACTCATGGTACAGTATACTACCAGCATCATTCGGCAGATCCATCAGTTTCAGCTGTCGCATGATACAGAAATGACTTCACAGGGGTTAGGGTTCAGAATTACTGAAAAGGTCCGCAGTCGAAGATGCAAGCACTGCGCGAGAGAATCAGCAGCCAAGTGCACCAGAAACCTGGCTTCACAATTCCGAGCCAAATCGGCTTGTTACCAAAAGCTCCGTCCTGGGCCTCGTCCCAGACCGTGTTCCCATCTAAACAGGGTGCCTTTGCTTGAAGAAGGACATTTCGTGGGGCTTTCGGGTTACACAAGGTAATTTGAGGACCTTAGACCCTACACCCTACACCCTAAACCCTGAACCCTAGCCTCCATGTAACCGAGACCACATACCATGAAGCCTCTCCGTCTCGCATTGCAGATCACCACCAGGGAGGCCCGGGTCACCATGCTCACCAGCATCTTCCGCCAGGCATGCCTTGGGGCAGTTTGAGGCTGTCGGTAATAGGGCTTGAATACTATTACCATTACTATTACTATTACTATTACTATGGGGCCTATAGGGTGTACAAAGGCTGGCAGGCTGAATGGTTTTCGTATGTTACGCATGATTTGGATAAGGCGGCGTAAATGGCGCGGGGAAAGGCCTCTGATGCTTTGACATGTGCTGCTGCGAGGGTACAGGGCAGAGTGTTTCCGCTCTTTCCCAAAGGCTCCATGTACCTTTGTAGTAGATACTTAAGCCCCAAAGGAGTCCCTATATAGCTACTTTAAGGCCAAAGTATGTACTATATGGGCACATGGAGCCTTGACATCATGTTTCAGCAGTCGGCGCTGGGATTTGCGGAGCTGTAGAATAGGATCCAGAAGTGCTGCTGGCTCATCGCCCGCTGAAGATGGTTTAAGGAAGTTTAGGGCTTACCTGTGGCCTCAAACCCTACAAAATGGCAGGTTGTGACCCCTTCATCAGAGGGTCTAACTATTAAAACGGTAGGTTTTTGGATCCACAGGTAGCTGCTGCTCAGCCCGCCGGTGGCATAAGTTAAATGAAAGTAGTCCTTTTTTGATGTTTGAGTCACGATTCGAACTTGTTCGCTTGCGAGGACATTGGCTACCATGACGATCCAGCTGCACAGCTGCAGCGGCGGGTTCAGTACAGCATTGTAGATAATGCAGAGCCCGTATAGTAGAAGCCCAAAAGTTGGAAACCCAATAGCCTCAGTCCTTAAGAGCAAGGAAAAGGGAATCCCAGCACTATTTGTCCTTTATCAGGTTTCCAACTTTTTGATGTTTACTATAGCTGTAAAGATCTCCTGATCATGGAACTTTGTGTGGGGCTCGGGCTTTGGATTGCACAGCCTTGGTTTGCCAGGGCTTGTGAGTAGGTGCCTGGAAGTTGTGGTATGGGGAACGCTTCATTCTTGTTAACACCCGCCGAGGAGAACACCCCCGGGAAGCTCGTGGCTGCCCTGAAGGCACCTTTTAGGGTTTAGGGTTTAGGGCTTTCATCAGGGCTTGCGGTTTATGGCTTTTTGGGGTGACTGAAGGCTCAGGGAAGCTTGCCAGTCACTTGGAGCGCGACTTGTGTGCTGACAGGATCCAGGCGATGCTTGTCGGTGTGGGGACTCGGGGGAGTGCCAGCACAACGCCATGGCTCTCGCGGTTTCGGCGCTGCCTTAAACAGGCCGTGCAGTTTTCTTGCGGCAGGTCTATGCCTACCGCATTGCCCAGCTGATCGTTGCGTTTGGCGACAATGCAGATGCCCTGTGTTCGATCGTGGCCTCTCGCCTGTATATACCAGGAGGAGACAGTCTTGTTTCGCGGACATGTGCTGTCATGTGACAGAATCTTCAGAGCGCTCCGTCTATGTCTGCTGGGACACCCTCTAGATTTCAAGGTCCTGTCAGCCGATCCCGTAACATGAACGTTTCTACATTGTATCCACACGAATCCATAAACCGGTTTTCGGTTTTCTTTGGGGCTTAGAGTCTCCCGACGCCGGACTTTGTGAACTTCGGAGCAGTTTGGTAGGTCGGCTTGACGATGGCCTTCGTCGGCTGCTGGGAGATGGCAGGTGCTTTGCGCTTCTTTGCTTTGGGGTCCAGGTACTTAGAGGATCATGGGACTTAGTAAGTAGGTTATAATTGGGGTTATAAGTCCCCTAAGTGGGGTTATCCTAATTATAACCTACTTAAAACCTTACTTACTAAGTCCCATGAGCCTTCAAGTAGGGCATGCGGAGCAGAGGCTTAGAGTCCAGAGGCACTACTTACTTGCGATTTCAGGGATGAGGATTCAGAGTTCGGGGTTTATGGTTCCTATGGAGCTTGGGGTTCAGGGTTTCAGGGAGCTCTGCAGGTTCTGGGTAGGGTGAGGCAGAAAAGTAGGTATCACGAATCGGGGTTGCGTGGTTCCGTCTACAAGTAGGTCCTTGCCAAGGGTGAGTTCCCGTGTCAGAGGCATGGGGATGCGGGTGTGCTAAAAAATGCAGTGCACGAACTCTAGCACAGCTGCACAGGCAGCCGGAGGGTTTTACCATGGGGCCTGGGAGCTCATACGTCGCGAAGAGCTTTGACCCTCACCCTCCAATTACGGTCGCTAGGTTTCATTGTTTTCATACGACTGTTGTACTTAAAGCAGGAGTTGTCCAATGCTAGACGGAGGAGTGCCCACCTCCATTTCGCAGGAGCCATGCTCCTCACCATTCCCATCTTCGCGATCGCTTCAGGTGCCGCGCTGGGTTGTTGAGTGGGAGGGAGGCTAGTACTTTGTGGCAGCAAGTTAGAACCTTTTCTGCGCATCTTCGCAGAGTACATTGCAAGCGTCCGATTATGGGACCTCGCATCTCGAGCTCCGAAAATCTCGAACTGTTTTCAGCTGGCTGCCGGTACCTTACAAGCCAGAAAGTTGGAACCCAGTATCCTCATGCCCTTAAGGTAAAGTATAGGGGATCCCAGCACTATTCATCCCAAACCTATGTTCCAACTTGGGGTCCACTATAGACGTGTGTGAGTCGTTGAGGTATCAAGGTGGCCGTGATGATCGGTGGTGCCAAGAACGAGAACCAGGTGGGCGCTCCTCTTAAAGGGATCCCGCAAGTAAGGGTTGTACATTGAGATCTCCTTTAAGGATACTTTAGGGTTTTATAACAGCGTCCCTTTTGTAAGGGCATTCTAGGGTTCTAGAATGAATAGGGTCCCCCATGAGGGTACTAGAATGAATAATCGGGTCCCCTTTGAGGGATCCCCTTAAGGGTGAGCAACCGTCCGCCGCACGACCAAGTACCCATTCCACCGACGTGTTTAGAGACCCTTAGCCCGGTAAAACGCTAAACCCAACGTGCGAGTGGCGGCTCGGAAGATGGGCCCGGGCAGCTTCAGTTGGGATCCTTGTGCAACTGTTTGCTTCGAGACACGAAGAATTGCCGAGTTCCAATACCCTAAACATGCTCTCAGTTCAGCAGCTCCGCACTCGCTGGATTATAAGCGGCCCTAACCTCCCCAAGCCCATCCTAGAGATCCGAGAACTCTCTACCGAAACGACAGCAGGTCCTCAAACAGGCCACGCAAGTGACCTCCGTGTCGCGGATGCAAGTTGAGCTTTCATCATGTTGGGGGTTGTCAAAATTAGGGTCCCTTTCTGGGTACCCTAAATTCTAGGTTACTAGGTGCCGTACTATATTACTGACCCAAAAACCACCATAATATTGACAACCACCCATGTTGGGGCTGTTTTGAAAGGTGGTCCTACAACCATGATGAGGATTCTTGCTTATAGGGGTTTCCTTCACCAAATGCCCAGACCTTCCTTATGGCCTCCATTATGAATCCTGAATACCTAACTACTCCTAGGGCCTAGGGCACGTATGCTTCTATTTGAGGGTACGAGGAGGGTCCTGGTGTGCGGGGTCTCAGAACTGGGTGGTGGAGTCTCATAGCTGGGTTGGCTGTATCCCAGCTAATATATTAGACCTCTTAAAGGGGACCCTTTTTTAACCTTAGTGTGGCCTTTTTCACAAGGACCTTATTCAGAGGGTCTAAATCCCCAAAAATTCCCTCGTCCTAACTCCTACTGCAACAGCTTCGTGCAGTTGGCTCGGGCCATGGTAAGTGTGCTGACCCCATCCCAGCCCCGTGTAGAGTCCCAGCGCTACACCCCCAAGCATTCATGACGCGAAACCCCAAGACATAAACCCCAAACCCCGAAACCCTAAAACTCCAAACTCCAAGCCCCGTAGCCCTAGACCCGAAACTCTGAACTCCCTCAACTCCCCGGAGATTGAAGCTCTAAACCCAAAACCCTGGGGCGTTAACAACGAAAAAGCCTTATAAACCCTAACCCCAAAAGCCTAAACCTACAAGGATTCGCTGCTCAATGCCCGGACCATCCAAGCCTCCGGCAATGCCGAGACCCCAGACCTCATCGCCAGAGATCTGGCGGACTACTTTAGGGCCTTAATATTCCTTACACTTATATTTATAGCATAATGGGCCCCAAAGCCCTATTCCAGTTATCCAGGCCCTGCACTAGGCTTAGGCTTTAGGGTTTACCTGGGCCCCGGAAAGAACTTTTTTGAACGACCTCTATGAGAAAGTGACAATAAGAAACCCTAAACGAGTAGGTTATTTGGGGTCTAGGCTTAGGGTTAGGGTTTGGGGCTTCGGGGTAATGGGTATAGACGGCATGTGCCTTTTTCGGGGGGCTTTATGGCTGCAAAGCTGTAGGGTTTAGGGCTTAGGGCTCGAGGGTATGGCAGCGAAGGTGTAGGGTTTAGGGCATGGTGTTTCGGGTTCAGGGGTTTAGGGCTAAAAATACACGGTATAGGAGACTAGATAGTTGCCAACATCATTCCGTCGGTTCCTTAGTGGAAGTAGCAAAGAACAAGCCCAAACCTAAACCCTAAACCCTAAACCTTATTCTGATTGTGGTTAATGAGGTCCCTACATTCGTGTTTTAGGCTTGGGGGTACTTTGGATTTTGGCGGTTCTGGTGATAGTTGGAGTTTGGGGTTTTCGGGTTTTGGGTTTGGGATTCTTGGTTTTATGCTTCCGATGGAAACGTCCCGACGACCGTGCAAGCACAGCTTTCCACGAGCTCAGTAGGTCTCTGAAGAGCACCGGCCACGTGTTTGGATGAGTCTTGTTTTCTGTTTTTCCAGAACAGCTATCCGAAGGAGTGGCGATGTCGTCGGTGATTTCGGGATTGTAGGGAAACATTACAACTTGTCGTCCCATCTTGTCTGACTCATATTCTGAGGTCTTTCACCAAGCCAATCAAGTGTTTCATTCATTGAACTACAAGAGCCTGCTGATTTTTGTTTGGATTGCTTTGCTGCGTTTATCGCTACTATGGCGATGACTAGTGTTTTCTGTTACTTTCAATAATGGCTCCATTGTTTCCAGGATTGTTTCAATGTTACACCGCTGTTATGTTTGGTTCGCTGGTTATTTGACATCGCTTTGCAGCCTCGCTTCTTTTCAGGAGCGTGGTATCCTGGAGCTTTACCGCGGCATGATTGCAGTGATGTCCAAAGGCATGACCAGGCGAGGGTCCTTGTTTCAGGTCCCTTTTGGTATCCTTGGCACAAGAGGGACGTATGTCTTGTTGGAATCCACTAGCCCGAGACTGGCAAGAATTTTCCGGGCATGGCAGCAATAGAAAGATAGTTGCCATTGACATCCATTGACAAGCAGGCTTTATACTGAGCAAGCAAGCCATTATTGTAATGCAAGGAGCAATCCTCATAATGTTACTTTCGACAGAAGTACCATTGCTGACACCACCGCCGCCACCAGCAGCGGCGGCGGCAGCAGCAGCAGTGCTACCACAACACACCAACAAATAATGAAATGCATGAACAAACAAGTAAAGGGAACTCCAGAAAGTTGGAATATGGATTAATGGTAGGATCCCCTTTAATTTACCTTAAAGGGGTGACGATAATCATATTCCAACTTTCCGGCTTCTACTGTAAGTAGATACGAAAGTTGGCAGATACAGAACGCCCGGCAGGAGGAATCTGCTGGGTGGCTTGGCGTTCGGGCTCTCGAGCTCCATTGCTACTGCCTCGGCCCGACGGTCCATGGAGATCGGTTGCTGGTTTAGGGTTTAGGGGTTTAGGGGTTTAGGGTTTAGGGTTTAGGGATTACAACCACGACCAATACTACAAACTGTTTAAACGGAACTTCAGAAAGTTGGAATATGGATTCAGGGTAGGATCCCCTATAATTTACCTTAGAGGGGGTACGATAATGATATTCCAACTTTCTGGCTTCTACTGTAAGGCGTCAGAGTGTTGGGTTCAGCCGTCGGTTCAACAGTTAGCGCTATGGAAGTTCGGTAGATCGTTTCCAAGTACACCCTACGGCCCTACAGCCAGGCCACCGCACCACATTCCTTGAAAAGACAGGGATCATCAGCTCGACCCAGGTCTTCTTCGTCATGGCAGGCGGCTTTTATTTCATGGGCTACTTGATCAAGGACGGTGCGGTATACGGCGCCTCGATCGTTGGAATAAGGTTCGAAAGGTGTATTCTACTTCAGCTGCTAGTTACTCTAGCCAGGAAAAAGAGGCCTTAACAGTTGCTTATGAAGATTCCGATCGCTTAGCTAAGGAATAAAGAATTGTCCGGATGCCTACAGCAACCCACAGCCGCAGAGCCATCCGAAATTGAGATCAAGTGCTTGGCTTGGCTTCTAGTCTTTTTTGTTCACAGTTTGGTAGTGAAGCTTATGAGCTTCAATACTTTTTGGTTTACATAAACTCCTCAAGCTGGAAAGTTGGCCTATGACCTTTCCAGAGCCATGTTAAGACGATTGCTGGATGCCCGTTGTCATAGCCAGGAGGGCCGTGCCACCTTCGAAAGCGGACAGCAAGCTTTCATGGGCGCTTCGGAACCAGTTTTGAGCCTTGAAGTCTAGAATCCGAAAGATGGCAAGCCTGTCTCTGTTTTACGACCAGGCAACGTTTTAATCCTTATGCACTCTGCGTTCGTAAAGCAGCACTGAGCTTAAAGCCCTGAACCGTTAGAGACAGTTCATCGAAGCTTGTGTCGGCAGAGCCTGTGGACACTGTAGGCCGAGGACCTCATTACGAAAAGCCCTATAGTACTCTTCACCGCATCATAGCGGCCTTTTCGGGTTATTTGAGCCTGCTAAGCCAGAAGGGTTTGCAGGCCTGAACCCGCAACTCTCGCCCCAATCCTGCAAGCCATAAACCCTGAAGTGTCCCACCCGAAACCCGAAACCGTGACAATCCTCAGCCCTAGATCTGCAGCCGTAGACATCCGCACACACCCCGGCTTGCCGTTTGCTGAAGTTCGCAAGCCATCATAGAGCCCGATTGCAGCGTTCAGGGGGTAATTAGGCGTTGGATCCAAACCCCTAAACTTTAAACAGTTCCTCTGTGAGTTCAAAGTCTAAGTGCCATAGAACATAACTTTATACCGCAAGGCCATTAGCAGACCCGTAAACACCCTACATGCCCTGCGGATCCTGGATGGTTTCACGCCGCAACCAAGCCTGAACACACAAACAAAAATTCCTGCCGCATCAAACCCTTAAAAGCCCTCAAAGCCTTAAAGCCCTTAAATGTTAACAACCTGTCACAGACCCCAGAACCCTTCAACATCAGCACTTAACGCCTGCCCCACCCCACCCACAAAAGCAACGTTCTAGTGGTCTAAGGTATCAATCCGAGACCCCAAACCCGAAGACCCTAAACCCCACACCCTGAACCCCAACACAAAGCACCTAAATCCTCAATGTGTGCCAAAAAAGCGTAAGGCATCCTCTACGCTTCTATGGGGGCCGGCATGGCCTCGGCGATGACTGGAGACCTGGCGAAGGCCCCTCAACATGTTGTTGTTCTGTTCATAAAACCTCTGGTCCATTCTGCTTCCAGGTTCGTATGGCTTCGTTTAGGATTCTCAGTTTTTCAGGTTAAGGGTTGGGGGTGTAGTGTTCGGGGCGTCATGATGCTAGTGATACCGTGTTGTATGCCAGTTTGCTCGGAGAGCAGTTGACTTTTCAGAAGCAAGTGCGCCAGCTCCGCTTCACGAGTGTGTGGCGGTTTTCAGAAAAAAGTTTTGGCATTAGGGATGAGGGTTCAGGATGTAAGTTTAGTGCTAGGGTTTTTTTTGGTTGGCGGTTAGAGCGCATACCTTCGTGGGTATCCGGTCCCAGGCATTTAACATAAAGCTAATAGACAAAGACATGTTACTTTAGGAATATATTGGACCCCAAATAGTTGGAACATGGTTTTAGGATAGTGAGTGCTGGGATCCCCTATACTGCACCTTAAGGGCATGAGGGTATTGATGTTCCAACTTTCTGGCTTCTACTATACATCCTACTGCATTGGGCACGTAGATTCCGAAATCCAAAGTCCTCAGCCCGCTGGCGACGGCTGAATCTATCTATCTCGGATCATTGAACAGTTGAGCCAAGAAAGTTTCACAGCAGAGACATCGCCAACGGGACCATGCAGCATTACAACCCTGAAGCTTAAGGGTTTAGGGTTTAGACCCCAGCGCTGGACACCCCCGAGCAGCACGACCCTCGGACCGACAAAAGCCAAGCAAAGCCCAGGCCCGTTGACAGGATATCAGATGTAGGAATCAGGAACAAAAAGCTGAAGCAGGACCCTTAGCTTTGGATAGTAAACCCAATCTCCGGCCGTTCAGAACTCTGTAGCCTGATACCTTTGGGCCTCTAGCTGTCTAAGCTTTAAAATACAAGGTAGGTATGAAAATATCGCTTTCTAGTTAGTCCCCAGGTTGTATTGTACTTCAAGCACGCAAACCCCCGGTGGAATGTCTGCCAGGAGGCCTCTTCCACACCCTTCTCACTTTATGAGCCCCTCACAACAGTCAGGCTAAAGTGGCTGCGCATGCCACCCGGCTTGCACTGACGGATTGCTATGGAAGTGGCATGCGTTCCAGATCGGGGCCCTAGATGTATAAGCATGTGGGAGGCATATATACACACATACACAACTATTTGCATATAGTGTGCATATATATATATATATACACACACACACATATATATATATATATATGTGTGTGTGTATACCTGTACATAAACAAATCAATAAATAGATAAATAATATATATATATATACATATATACACACACACCCATACATGTGCATGTGTTTGCATACGCAGCTTTTCGCATGCTTCCACACATATATACGGGCAGCTCGGTAGATAGATAGATACATACAGGCATAGGCGCATAGATACGTAGATATCTGAATACATAGAATAGGTACATGCGTACATGCGTACGTATGTGCGTCCGTACACACATACTTACATATCTCTTTATTCTCTCTCTCTCTCTCTCTCTCTCTCTCTCTTTCTATGTATATATATATATATATATATGTAGATATGCACGTATGCATGAATTTTCGTCTTCAGAATTTACTGTATTCTTCATTGTGGAGTTAAGTACAAAGTTAGAGAAGAAGCAGTTGGCTGCTGATGTACATACGTACACACATACTTACAACACTTACTCGATTGTTCGAATATTTCATTACTTACAAAGGTACTTTATTCGTAATATTCTTCGGCGGTTATTTAACATGTACTGGGAAGCCGCATTTGCAAAACATACGTATGCCAGATAGGTATATTTTCTGGATCTCGACAGAGATCATCATCGCCATTTCATGCGCATGATTGTGCCGGCATGGCACCATCTCTCTGGACAGGTGTAAGTGCCTGTAAATATTTGCTCACCCCCCCCCGCAAGATCTACGCTTTCGTTGTTCTTGGGGCATGGGGAGCACGAAACACTGCTATGCTCAAAAAATTCCACAATTTCTAACCCTGAAACTCACGAAACACTGTAATGCTCAAAAATTTCCAAAAATTCCAAAATTCTCACATCTATGGCAGGACGGGGGCAGATTCTTTAAAACTTTGGAATTTTTTGAGCATAGCAGTGTTTCGTGAGCTTTGAGGCAATGAAAAGTTGATTTTTTTTGAGCATTACAGTGTTTTGTGAGTTTTAAACCACGAAACACTGCTATGCTCAAAAAATTCCAAAATTTCTAACCCTGAAACTCACGAAACACTGGAATGTTCAAAAAATTACAAAAATTCCAAAATTCTGGCATCTATGGCCAGGACGGGGGCAGATTCCTTAAAAGTTTGGAATTTTTTGAGCATAGCAACGTTTCGTGAGCTTTGAGGCTATGAAAAGTTGATTTTTTTTTGAGCATTACAGTGTTTTGTGAGTTTTAAGCCACGAAACACTGCTATGCTCAAAAAAAATGAGCTTTGAGGCTGTGAAAAGTTGATTGTTTTTGAGCATTACAGTGTTTTGTGAGTTTTAAACCACGGAACACTGCTATGCTCAAAAAATTCCAAAACTTCTAACCCTGAAACTCACAAAACACTGTAATGCTCAAAAAATTCCAAATTCTGGCATCTATGGCCAGACCGGTGGCAAATTCTTTAAAACTTTGGAATTTTTTGAGCATAGCAGTGTTCCGTGGTTTAAAACTCACAAAACATTGTAATGCTCAAAAAAAAGCAACTTTTCACAGCCTCAAGGCGGACTTTTTTTGAGCATAGCAGTGTTGCGTGGTCTAAAACGCACAAAACGCTGTAATGCTCAAAAAATCAATTTTTCACAGCCTCAAAGCTCATTTGTTTGAGCATTGCAGTGTTTCGTGGTTTAAAACTCACAAAACACTGTAATGCTCAAAAAATAAACTTTTCATTGCCTCAAAGCTCACGAAACACTGCTATGCTCAAAAAATTCCAAACTTTTAAGGAATCTGCCCCCGTCCTGGCCATAGATGCCAGAATTTTGGAATTTTTGGAATTTTTTGAGCATTACAGCGTTTCGTGAGTTTCAAGGTTGGAAATTTTGGAATTTTTTGAGCATTACAGTGTTTTCTGATGTCCAGGACAGGATATACTGCATCACAAGATAATTGGGTCCTTGCAACCGTTGTCAAGGACTGGAAGTACTGTTATATGTGCCTTCTGGAACAGCAACGGTTTTCATTACTCTTGGTTGATAAGTATGAACAGTCCTGCTTCATGTTTGGAAGGTTGCAAGAGCTCTCTTACTTTTTGCTGCAGACGAGCTTTCTTGTGCGCCGGCATATGCACATGAACCTTTCAACTCCAGGGGAGCTTTCCCATTTCTTATCAGGCAAAGAACAACTATTGGAGTATTGCCTCAAAACTAAACGCGCCCGCATATTCGACTTCCTTCATGTATAATGGACAGGACATGAAAGGAGCTCTCTGTATTTCGTAACTCATAAACCAAACGCTAGAGCGATTAGGCCGCATCAGAATCGGACGCTTCACGAGCAGCGGGAGAGAGATGGCCCAAGCACCAAGACGTCTTCGTAAGAGAGACGATTGTATTTTTATTATTACAGGAATGTTGTTAAATAACACACCATAAAATGCAAAAAAACACGAGGTTTTTTAGTATTACATGAACAAAACTAGCACGCCCTCCAGCATCTCAGCTTCTCCAACACATAAACTACCATGAATCCGCGGCCGAGATTCGGCGCCAGATTTTTACACATATCAAACCCGCGCCTTGCAGCAGCACGGTTTGCATGCACATGAGGTAAAGCTCGGTTGTATCGGTATTTACGGTGTTTTCGGTATATATGAGTAGTCGACCAATGTAGAGAAGCAACCTGTGGAATCGTGTGGAAGAGGCGGGTGTAGATCTTGGGGGGGGGGGGGGGGGGGGGACCAAATATTTCATCTTCGGTACACTGCATGCGTGAAAAACTACATCCTGCCTAATGCTCCGGCTAAAAGGGCATGGGGTCTCAGAGTTTAAGCCTCCAGGCGCCCCGGAGTGTTTGGAGCCACGGTTTCATTCGGATGGCTTGTATAAACATACGTCCAGATGCTCGAACCCCAAGGACATGTTCGAGATCATCGACCGACAGTCCCTCATCGATGGCTTAGAACCCGCTGGGTAACTGGGCCAATTCAGTTCTCACTTCTCGCCCGCTGCAGTGTCCATTCTGTGTACTTGCATCATGCATCCACTTCGTCCCCGAACTGGATGTTCCCGCCGATTATATTCAAGTGGTGCAAGCGGGGGAATGATACCTAATGCTTGAAACCCCCGACTTCATTTCCAGACAAGTCAAGCACACGAGCATGCTCAGGGATGATTTGCAACTTGGATCTGTTCTTGCCTCGTACCTTCCTTCAAGCCCCAAACTTGAATTTTAAAAGCTGTCGAACCGTCAAAAACCTCAATACCTGCAAAACCCAAGACACCAACACACCTGGACCCCGAAAGCCCAGTAGCCTAAACCTCCAAATCCAAAGAGCTTGCTGGCTTCCCAGCACCAAGCACTTCTTAAAGGGAACTCCAGAAAGTTGGAATATGGATTAATGGTAGGATCCCCTATAATTTACCTTAAAGGGGTTACGATAATGATGTTCCAACTTTCTGGCTTCTACTTTACTTGGTTTTCAGCGAGAATCCACTCGACTTTGTTCTGTCTATGTTGGGCTTACCCATAGGCCCCAAAGTAGTTCCTTTTTGGGATGACCTAAGCCCTGACCCTGTGGGGTTTTCCCCGTCCGACGCAGTCTCCTTAGGCGAGCACTTCAAGCAGGAGCTGCCATTGGACGAATCGAGTTGCCTCGGCTGCCTATTCCACGCTGTGCTTGTTCCACCCTAAACCCTCAAACCTAAACCCTAAACTCCCTAGTACCTAAACCCTAGGGTGTTGGGGCTCAGGTGTGGGTTTTCGTCGATTTTCGGATCTTTGCGTTTCTATAGGGCTACAGGTGTTTTACTGGGCATCCCGGTAATGTACGGAGGTTCGATGTTGTTTTTTTTTTTCAAAACTACTTATAACCCTTAACTCCGAATTTGAGCGGGTGGCAAAAAACCCGAAACTCTAAACGCAAAACCGTTAAGCAAGCAACAAAGACCACCAGACACCCAATGTTGGTAGACCTGGAGACGAGCGGGCCTAGGACTTCATCGAGGCTTCAGCAGTTCTTCAAAGGGGAAAAGGAGGGATCCTTAATGGGGACCCCTACCCTATAATGGGCTATAAAATGGGTATACAATAGCTATATTAAGGGTATATACCTAGGGGTCCCTCCTTTTACCCTTTGAGTTCTGTAGCGTCACAGCTTCATGCGCAGATGCCTAGCTGTCGTGAGCTGCCTCGGTCCAGGTTTCAAGACGTGCGCTTCACCTATCCCTTCCGGCCTGATGTCCAGGCAGGTAATATGGGGGTCTTAATAATGACCTAAATTGTTTTGGGGAGTTCCTTTTTACAATTGTTATAATGGGCCACAACAAAGGCCTATTCTTATTATTATTATTATTATTATTATTAGTAGTAGTAATAGTAGTATTATTAGTATTATTATTATCATTAGTATTATTATTGTTATTATTAGTATTAGTATTAGTATTAGTATTAGTATTAGTATTAGTATTAGTATTATTATTATTGTTATTATTATTACTATTATTATTATTAAGGCCCCTGTATTACAGCACGAGCTTCATTCAGTTCCATCTCAAAAGGGCGATCCAAACGCGTGCAGCGCTTATTCGCAGAGGCTATTAAATCGGAAGGTCCAACTCAACGTGAGTCTGAGTGCGAGAGGAAGACGCAAGGAACACAAGAAGCACATGCGCCTTTGTCGAGAATTTGTATTCGCCCAATCTCCGTTCCGGATAGGTTTTACGGGTACTGAAGCCAGCAATAAGCCACGAGGAGGACCAATCCGGAATGCGAACTTCGTGCATAGATCCGTGTTTTGAACAGTTTCAGAAACTTAGTGCGCACACGTAGAGAGGTAACAGGTAAAGTATGATCCTCCAGAAGGGAGTTTCCGAACATGTGGGGGTGCCTTATTTGGGGGTCTTTATACTGGGGATCCAATTATTCAGGGTACTATATCAGGTTTCCTATTTTCGGAAACCTCCAGAAGCCTCGGGTAGCCGCGGCGTCCTCGGAATCTCGCCTCCCCCTTCTTTTTGTAAGGCGAGAGAGGGCGTAGAGCCAGGAACGGAACAAGAACTCAAGGAACGAGCCGCTGAAGCCCCAAAACCCTACTTAGAGGATCATGGGACTTAGTAAGTAGGTTATAATTGGGGTTATAAGTCCCCTAAGTGGGGTTATCCTAATTATAACCTACTTATAACCGTACTTACTAAGTCCCATGAGCCTTCAAGTACAGCTGAAGCCGCGAAGCCCCAAAAAGGCGACGCAAGGAACAGGACACCCCACCTGGACCCTAAAAAACAAGGTTCCTTACTATAAATATTTCCCTATATTATACATATATAGATAATTATTTATTTGTAGTCCTTGAAAAGGTCGGTTATTTCGGGTCCAGGTAAGCCCTAAATATGAAACCGGAGGTGCTTCAGGGCGTGTCCTTCGTGCTGGAGGCTGGCTGCTCAGCCGGCTTGGTCGGCCCGTCGGGTGGCGGCAAGAGCACCGTCATGGCACCCTGGCCTTGTAATTCGGTTCTGTAGGGTGCTGTAGGGCTTCATAGGGTTTAGGGCTCTTGTCTTAAGGTCTTACGGAGGGAACCTCAGACCAACCATAGGCGGTCAATGTCGATTGTAGTGGTGCCTTTGACATACTTAGAATAGGGTGACTGGTTTTAGAATTTGCTTATGTTCGCAGTGGTTAGCAGTACCCAGTGGTAGCAGTAGTTAGTAGCTAGTAGCTACTAAGAGTTCGTGTTGTCAGCAGAAATCGACCTTGAACATCGAAGCCTGGATGTCGGCTTCTTCCACCAAGTGCTGGCGCGGTTTGTGTCTGCGGAATATTTTGGGTTCAGGGTTTAGGGTTTAGGGCAGGGATTGGGCGGAAGTTTGTTGGATCTTGCCGGCAGTCTCTCGCACAGGAGGTAGCGTGCACGTGCCTCAGTGCGAACCCGGCGAAGCCTCGCCTAGGGCATCGAGGCCCGAAATTTTAACCCCCTGAAGACGGAAGGCCGCAAAACTCCGCACCCAAAGCGCCGCACACCCTGAACCTTGACGAATGTGTAGCTCGAGCAAAATGTGGACAGCCTCTTTCAAAGAGCCCCAAAGAACAGAACCCGCCTTGATAGAATCCTTTTATACCAAAACTCTCAGCCTTTATAGAAAAAAACTTATAGAACCCTTCCAGGCACCTTGTAAGAGAGCCCAAGCGCAACCTTCAAAACTCCCTGAAACCCTGAACCCTACTTGAAGGCTCATGGGACTTAGTAAGTAAGGTTATAAGTAGGTTATAATTAGGATAACCCCACTTAGGGGACTTATAACCCCAATTATAACCTACTTACTAAGTCCCATGAGCCTTCAAGTAGACCCTAAACCCTAAACCCCATAGATCCCTTTTAAGGAGCCCTATAGATCCCTTTAAGGAACCCCATAGATCCCTTTAAGGAGCCCTGTAGACCATCCTGGACCCGGAACCCTAAACCCTAAACCCTCAAGCCGGGAACCCTGAGACCCCTAAGTAGAAGCCAGAAAGTTGGAATATGATTTTCCTGAAGCCTTAATGGTAAATTATAGGGTATCCTACCATGAAACCATATTCCAACTTTCTGGAGTTCCCTGTAAACCCAAAACCGTGAACCTTAAACCCAAACCCTACAAACCCTAAGAGCCCGCACAAAAAACAAAAGCCTAAAAACCCAGAACAGGCGATGCTCCAGCGCTTCTACGACCCGGCTTCTGGCTCTGTTCTGATCGGATGCTTGTCTCGGAAGAATCCCGCACTCTTGAGGCGAAGATGGCTTGCTGTGGCTTTGTGTGTTAGTGTGTGTATGTTAGTTAGTTCGTTAGATAGTTAGTGAGTTCGTTAGTTAGTGTGAGTGTGTTTTTGGTTCTTTCGGTCTTTTTGGTGGTGGGTGAGGGATGGGGGGAGCGAAGGGTTGGGACTCTAGCGGGTTCATGGGGAGGAGAGCTGGGTTTCGGCTGGAAGGGTTCAGGGCTTCCGTGCAGTAGCCTGTTGCAAGCCGGGTTCTAGTTTCAGGCTTTTGGGTTTAGGGTTCCGTTTGGGCACATCATATATAGTAATAATAGTATTAATAATAATAGTATTAATAGCAATAATCGGGTTTAGGGTTTAGGATTCCTGCAGACGCAAATGGTGGTTGTTTGTGTGCGGGATGTTCCTCACGTGGCGTGGAGCTTTCAAGCTAGTGTCCGGCATTCGAGACTTTGGGGCAGGTGGACACCGTATCGTATTGAGGACGTTCACTCTTGCCAGCCATGGGTGTTTCGTTGTGCCACATGATGTCAGGCATGCTCCCCGAACCCTGAACCCTAAACCCTGTTAGGGTTTAGGGTTTAGGGTTACTGAGCACTGTTTAGAATAGGCTTTTTGGGTGCTGGCTAGGACGCACCGAGGACAGGATCGAACCCCGCTCAGCGATCTCAACATCAGGTGCCATCGAAGATTGAGAGGTTTAGGGTTTAGGGGTTTAGAGTTTTCAATAAGTTTTGCAAGAAGAAGTTGCTCGAGCCAAGAACCCAGCGGTCTTGCGAGGGATTTGTGGGTTAATGCTGCACCAGCTGTTGGTGTTCGCTCCCGAAGTGCACTTTCTGCGACACTTCTCGTGGTCATCCGGGAAGCGATATACTTCAACCTCTAAAGGACGAGTTGCTGGAATGAGCAGAAAGCCATGAGACTGGTTGGCTGAGTACAACAAAATCAATTCTGGCATCCCTTGGCAGCCCATTCCCCTCTAACTTCTAATTTTTAGAGCTCTGAGTCACTGAGTCTCGCAAGGTGGTGGCGCAAGCAAGTGGGCTTTGTAGGGCAGGACCCGTGCACAGGGGCACGTGATCCAGCGGGAGTTCAGGATCCCACGCCCAAAGGCTCAGAGGATCAACAATATCCCGTCTCAGACATGAAATCTGCGGCACCTGGGAAACAGAAGCACGTTTCCCGATGGAGGAATGAAGCCATTATCCAAACTAAGGAGTACACAATGTTCTCCTAGTCCTAGTTTCAGGGTACTTGAGGAAGGTAATGTGGGATTGTGTTCATCCGCAGTAGGCTTTCGAACTGACAGGAGAGCCAAACACTTCGGGTGCACGCTGCGTGTGAGCTTTCGTATTTGCAGACTCCGGTTTGGATTCGTTGCTTTCGGTTCCGAACACTCTTTTTTTACGCGGTGAAAGGCTCTCGCAATTGTTACCCAAGCAACCTGTGTTAGCTACGTTTCGTGTGTGTCGCATTGGATCCGAAGGTGCAGCAAGCGAACCGCGCACGTTTCTAAGGTTCTCGCGTTGTGTCCAGGGCCTGTGCAAGATAGCTCTAAGAGCATTTGCAGTTGGCACTGGCAACTCTCAAAATTACATTTGCATCCTGACATGAAATCCGATACTGAGACGATTTGAAGAAGCAATTCCCCAGGCGTTCTGGATTTTTCGCTTCCAGTGTTGAAGTTAAGCCTGAATCAAGCCCCAAACCCTAAACTTTAGGGCTATACACTAGAAGCCCAAAGGTTTCAAACCCAACAGCCTCAGTCCTTAAGAGTTCCAATTCAAGTTTATGGGGTTTACTGTAGTTGGGCCCTAAACCCTAAACCGCTTAGTTTGGGCCTGACAGAGCAAGCTCGCCTCGACGCAGCAGGAGCCCATCCTGTTCAATTCTTCCATCCTGGACAACGTGCCTTGGCAATGAAGCACAAAGGCTTCAGAGGGCCCTGTGGGGCGTTCATGGAGTTCAGTGCCGTTTGGGGCTTTCATGGGGTTTCGGGCAGCTTTGTGGGGGTTCATGTGGTTTAGGGCTTGAGGCTTCGGGGTTCGGGCTTAGGCCTGCATCTGCTGTTGCGGGGCCCGTGTCTGCAACCCCGCACGGGTAGCAAGCCCGAATACCGAATGACAGGTCGTGTATGGACTGGAGGATGGCGAAGAAGTGTCGCCCGACCACCTTGAGCAATGCAAGAAGACCTTCGGCAGCAAGGCAGCTAATGATTACGACAATAACAGTGGTACTTTTGTCAGTATGGCTAGAAGACTAGAACTACAAGAATAAATAAAAATGCTAGTTCATGACGAGATGCATCATCCAATGCCAGGCATGCTGCAAGGTACAGTTACAGCCTTGGCAGACCCCCTTCCCCCTTGCCGTGCCGAAATCTCGGCTTTCACCTGAGGATGGCGAATTTGACCTTCATTGATGGCCACAAGGCACAGTAGCAGCGGCGTGAAAGGGGTGAGATGTAGCAACCACTTCACCTGGACACGGTGCACGCTTTGTGTATTCAGGGTTTTGCATAACTGATGGATCCCGGGCGAGGTCTGAAGTGTCGTCAGTGTGTAGGGGTTGAGGCGCGGCTGTAATGTAGAGGCTCATGACCAATAATAAATAATATCATAATAGTATCTTATGTGCAATAGCAATATCGATTTACCATCCCGCAGAAGCCTGTTCCAACTTTTCAGGCCGCTACATGTTCGTTGCAACAATACCGCAATAACCCGCGGAACCCTTAGCCCCGGAGCAGGGCCATGTCTGGGCTCCGGGGCTGGGTCCGCGGCCCCTCAAAACATCAGGATCAGGGCACACAGAGGTCTGTTGAGTTGAGGGTTCAGGGCATGGGGAGCCGTGGGTTTTGGATACGTTGCATGCATTTCCAGAGGGCGATCCACCTGAAGCCAAAATACTGGAAGCATGCGCCATACACCCAGATTGCAAGCCCCACAAGCCTATAGCACTCCCCAAATACTACATAAAATCCTTTTAGAGCCTTTGCTAAACCGTTATAGAGCCCTCATAAAGCCCTAAACCCTAAGTCTAAACCCTAAACTGCCCTAAAGCCTAAACCCTTTGTCCTAAACCCTAAACCGAATTCCCAGAGAGCCCAATACCCCTTAATTCAGGAATGTAGCTTAAATCATAATATGAAGCCCCTAATGATGTAAGGTATCTTCCTTACTTAAGGGGTATTAGAATCCCTTAAACCCTAAGCCCTGTAGATCCCCTAAAGGAACCCTAGGCCCTAGGTATATTCCTTAAATAAGGGGTATTGGGCTCTCTGGGTTCCCTCAGAGCGGGAAGCCCTGGCGCAGGCCCAGGGATGGCATACGCAGGCAGAGCCGAGATGCCCAGAGACTCCAATACCCCTTCATTAAGGAATATACCTTAAATTATAGTAGGATCCCTTATATGATTTAAGGCATATTCCTTAATTAAGGGATATTGGAGTCTCTGGATGTGTGGCTTCAGGGTTCCAGGAAGTTGGGCTTAGGAAGATGTAGGGTTTAGGGCTTAGTGTTTGTGAACTTAGTACTTAGGTTCATGGAATTTGGGCTTAGGATGACCCAAAAGTAGGTAAACTAATGGCCCAAAACTTATAAACGGCTATTATTCTACATACTTTTGGGATCCATGGATTTAGAATTTCCTTCGCCCAGGCCTGACGCTTCGAGTCCCTGTGAGAGAGAGCGGGCGTTTCTGTTTATGAACTTAGGGTTTACGGTTGGGGGTTGAGTTTAGGGCTTTAGGGTTTGTTTCGGACCTTTAGTGTTTACAGTAACTACAGCTGGTCGTTCCGATCGTCGCTTCACATAGGAAGTGCAGCACTTCAGTCAGGCTTGACGTTTCGAGGGCCTAAGAGAGAGAGAGGGCTTCTGATTTATGAACCTAGGGGATTCGGATGGTTTAGGACCTGTGGTGTTTTCGGGTTTCGCATGCTTTAGGGATAATTTAGGGTGTCTCGAATTATAAGGTTCGATGAGGTAGGATTCCCCGGCAACACCTCAGGAGGCCTGGCTAGAAACGGATTTGGGCTGTCAGTCTGGGAGTTAAAGGGCTGCTTCACTACTACGGCTTCTAGGTTTATGAAATTATGGTTTCGGATGATGTCGGGTTTCGGGGGTTGGGGTTATGCAAGCGATAGGGAGTATAGGGTGAGGGCATCTTGCTTGAGCCTTGAGCCATGAACTTGCCAGTAAGGGATATATTTTTTTAAATCATATTAGGGATCTTACTATACTTTAAGGCATATTCCTCAATTAAGGGACCTATAGATCCCTTAATATCCCTTAAAAGGACCCCATTGAGGGATGTTGGAGTCTCTGGCTTCGCGCTGCAGGTCGGCCCTCGGGGGAGCCGTCTTTCCGGTGGCCAAAAGCAGAGGGTGACGCGGTCGGAAGCATGGGCCAGGGTTTCGTACTAATATCGCTTTTCGCTTTTTCGCTTTTCGGGGCGTTGTGTCCTGGTTTGGACGCAGCCGTCTTTGGGTGCACCTAATTTAGACCGTGAAACTAAAAGCAACCATCTGGACTGAAATTCGCAAGTAGGTCACCATCGAGTACCTGTGCTCGAAAGGGTGCGATCTTGCGAATGACCTCTACTGCAGGACAGGAGATCGGTGGAAGAAAAATGCACGTTGGCACTTCCTTCGTCCAGAGGTAGAAAAGTCCTCGAATGAGGTCAGAGAAGGTTCGCAAACGAGAGAGTGGGCCCTCGAGACAGTGGTAGGACGACAGAGGACTGGGTGCAGAAAAGTCGACCTCAAATCCAAGTCCATAGAGACAGACAAACCCACTTCGGTCTGTATCCTGTACCCAACCTTCGAAGTTGAGCTCGTTGGTGCGCCGGGAATGGTGCGGCATTTCCGAAGGCAAGGAGGTCCATTCGGGCACACAATAGCAGTAAACTTCGTCTGGGGTGGATTGTGACAGGATGTGGAGACCATCAAACTCAAGCCAAGGGAGTAAGGTTGCAGCGTCTCGGAAGGTGGCTGTCAATAGCTCAGGAGTACACGCTCCCTCACCAAGCCACTCAACAAAATTGACATCACAGAGGAGTCGTGCGAGTCTCTGGTGCCACACTGCCCACTGCACTGGCCATTCTTCATCAGAGCTGAGTGCAACTTGAAGTTGACTGTGCCACTGTTGTGCGGTCGCCTGCAGCCTAGAGACCTGTAAGCACTGTCCTCGGAACACACCACGGACATGCCCTACTAGTTCCGTCCAGGAACCAAATTTATCGGCATCGTGACAGAAACAGGCCTCAAGGTCGCGGAGGAGGGGATCGGATGGTTGATGCAGTTCATCAACAACAGGTGTGAAGTCCCATCTTCCCCTGGGTCCTTGAGCCTGCGTAGCAGGCACAAGGACGTTGTGTCCCGAGTCGAACTTGCGGTGGCCTGTGCCGGGTTCAGGCTCGCAACGGAAGCCGGAGTTTAGGAGGGCATGTCTGCATGCAGTGCTATAAGCGAGGTGGTTACAGAGACCTTTATTAGCACGGAACTGAGCTAAACAGACAGCACACTGTGACCCTGTGGCAAGTCTGCGAACGGGATTGACACGGCCATGCCTTTTGAAAGCATGGTGTGACCAAGCCTTCAGGTCATCAAAAACCGTTCCACAAATTGCACAGATCTCATGTTGGTCGTCTCTTTGTGAGATTGCGGAGGAGACAGCAGCACCTGCCCTGAGATAGGCCCGGAATGCAAGGCCCTGGTGCCGTTGGACTTCAGCTGTCCAGAGTTCTTCGAGAATAGCAACTTGCTTTGCCTTATTGACAGCTCTCTTCCAGGCCTCGGGCTGCTGCCTGATGAAGGAAATGGCATTGTCCCAGCCCTCCCATGGATGGCTTGTTGGGACGATCCTGCGATGCCGTTCCGTGAGCCATAGAAGAGAGGCTTGCACCTCCTGCAACCACTCTCCTTCATAGTGGAGAATGGCCCACAGTTCGTTCGTGGCCTTCAGGACAGTCGCCTTGAAATGCCGAAGCCTTTCGACATGCAAGGAGGTAGAGACGCTGGCAATGCGGGCTGCCGCAAGAATGCACCCCGGACTGAGATGGCAGACTTCTTCAGAAGGTTTGCCTGCACTTACGATGCATCGTGCCATATTGACAACATTACTCTGCAACCGGGCAAGAAGAGCAGGTTGGACCCCTGACCACGTACCGCAGCCGTAGTAAAGGGTGGACTCAACGAGCGACGTAAAAAGGCAGGATTTATCCCCTATTCCTATGATGGGGGAACCAAAAACAAGTTTGCGGTGTTTGGTAAACGCCTTCCAAGCGAATCCAAGGCGAGCCTTGACCTCCTTGGCAAGGCCTCCCTTTGCATGGATGATACCCCCTAAGTGCTTATAGGAGGCAGCGAGGCGGAGGCGTGCGCCAGGCCAAAGCTCGGACTCAAGGTTAAGACTAGGATCCCGCCCACCAAAATGCTCCTTTGCAAGTTTATTGGCACCATGGCCAAACAAGCTGACAACCGTCTCGGTCTTCCCGGCACGGAGATTCGGGAGCAATGCCGCTTGGAGGCACTCCTCAAGCGTGATGCGAGTCGCAGCCCGGAGGTTGGAGAGGAGTTGACTTGCTGTCCTAGCCTGCAGGACAATGGATAAGTCATCCATCCACGTTGCATCGACTGGCGAACAACTGGTGATTCCGGCCTCGGCAGTTGCACTAGGGCGACAGAGCCAGTCCTGGTTCCAAGGGATCCGGACAGCAAGATCTTGTGCGGCAAAGGTGTCACGGATGCGGTTGAGGATTTCGGCAAAGAGGAAGGTAAAGGTCATATCTGCCAGATTATCACCTGGTCGCGTGCCGGCTCGCACAACAGCAAGATCAGGGCCACCACCGTAGGTGACCCAGGAATCTTCATTGAACTCTTGAAGCATACGAGCTGTCCATGCGGACGCACCTGCTTTGCATAGCAAAGACTGTTCCCGGGCGTACGCATAAAGGCGGTGAAGGGAGGCAGGTGGAAGCCCTATTTCTCTGACTACTCCAGCGAGATGTTCATCACTGAGGTTGCCTCCATGAATAAGGGGGCGTACCACACGATGGAAGGCTTCACGGAGATCAACAAACAAGACGGCGCATGAGAGCCGACGATCAACACAAGCTTTCTGAAAAGCCCTGATCGCATGTGTGGCGATCTGCACCGGCTGTCCCCGTCTACCTCCTATCTGCATCGGGGTACAAGCGACCTCTAGGTACTCGGAGCATCTGGTTCGGAACATCCCATGCACGGCCTTACCTACCGAACTGCTAACAAGGATTGCCCGGTAGTTTTCACACTCGGCCTGTGAGCCACGTCCTTTCCAGATTGAATGGAGTGTGCCACCTTTCCACGCAACCGGTTCTTGAATCCGGTAGGCAACCTTGAGAAAGATTTGGTAAAGGGTGCGTGACAGGCCTGCTGCTTTGAGGTGGAGCAGGTCGGGGACTACCCCGTCGTTGCCTGTTGCTTTGCCGCATTGCATGGCCCGCATGCTTGTTTCGAGCTCAATGCGAGTGGGGAGGTCGCTTTTGACAAGACTGAGTGGATCAAGATCAGCACGGCTTTGTCGGGACAAACAGTCTTGGATATACTGGTGTACCTCAACAGGTTCCCCATTTTCTATGGCACTGAAATGGCGGAGCCAGCGACGATCAGCTTCTCCTTTGTCAGCAGCAACACTACCATCCTCAAGTCTGATCGTAGGTAAGGCCTGGGTGCCTCTACACAGACGTTTGGGTGGTCCTAGGAGGGGACGAAGTTTGCTGACCGTGTCCTTAGTGGAGGACTTCATTGCCTCATTGGCAACGGCTCGTAGATGGACCTTGCGGTCGTGTTGGATGGACCGCCGCAGAGTCGGCTGCAGTTGTCTCAGCTCTGCGATGTCCTGCCCAGCATGCCGCACACATCGAATGAGAGCAGCTAGGGATTTGGCCAAAACTTGGCCGGGCCGGACCGGTTGCGTCCACGAAGCAAATGCGGCACGAATGGTTGCAGTCCTGAGGTGTCCGCAGGCTCGTTGGAGCCGTCGTCTAAGATCGAGTCGTCGTTGCCGGAGGTCCCACGTTGTGGGGCTGAAAAAGGGCCGGCGGCATCTAGTGCGCGGGGCGGGGAATGCAACAGCAAGTGAGTCCTGAAGGTATGCCGCAACTGTGGCATAATGCTCATTTGCATCAACTGCCCAAGGCACTTCAGGGACGCCTGCACAAATTTGATCAAGGACTCCTTGTGAGTCAGGACTCTGAAGTTTGACTCGATCAATCTTGGGCCCATGGGCGGTGCGTGGCATGCCAACGTGCAGGCATGTGTCAACATCAAGCATTACCCCATAATGATCAAGGCCAGTTTGACCAAAGTCTACATGATAGAGCACAGAGGACCCATCGGCAGAAACTGACCATGCAGCAGGGATAGTGATGAAATCTATTCTGGATGCCGCTCCGCTCCCCGGTGCAACCCACGTGTAGGACTCACCAGTATGGATGCCTTCATAAGTCGCTGGAACCCAGTTGTCTATATCCTGCAGAAGCTGCAGCATGGCCTCGGGTGGGGCTGGACCAGACTCCCATACATTATCTCCTACTGGCGTTAAAGTCCCCAAGGAGGAGGACCGGGTCTCCCCGGGCGACTCTAACAACCCGCTCTCGGAGCTGCTTCCACCAGAGATCCCTGCCTGGGTCCTGGGCAGTGGGCGCGTGGATGACAATGACTAGGAACCTCAAGTTGCCCCGGGCGACTCGGGTCATAATGGATCTGGGGTCAGCAGAGAGTACTCGGATGTCGGCTTGCCGGAAAAAGATGGGCGTGCTGCCGGCCCAGGCATACGGAACGTCGGTCGCGAACCAAACTTCGACACCATGCGCTCCACTGGCATCCTTCTGGGAAAGATACCGGATGTGTGTGGCAGAAGATATTGTTTCGGACTGCTTGGCCCTCGTTTCCTGTAGGCCGATAACAGAGGCCTTGACAGCTCGCAACTGTTCTCGGATATAGGGGACTCGCCCAAGCACTCCAGCTGCCTGGTCTTCAGCGAGTGTCTGCACATTGACAGTGATGACCCTCGGCTGAAAACGGAAAGTTTGCAAGGCAGGTGGGCTTGCTTTTGCAGGCACATTCTGCAACGGGGCAATACAGCGGTAGAGGTCATGGACATTGGCAACATTTCGGCTACCGGCATCAGAGAGGCAGGTACGTTGGAATTGTGGCCACAATGCTGGCCGCAGGACAGCTTCAATCAACAACCATAACCACGCGATGTCGCCATCACATGCCCATGAAGCAAGCACAGCAATGGCTGGAGGCGCGCTAGCCTCAGTGAGCCTGGCCTTGGCGAGTACATCAGCAAGTTCGTTGTAAGGGTTCCCGGCGTGAGCCTTGACATGCTCGAAGCTGCCATGGTAAAGTTGAGCAAGCGACTCAGCAGCTTGGGCAATCGACCGACAAGCATTGCCGAGGACATCCTCAGGGTTGGTACTAAACCCGCCCCCGGTTTGGTTCTGGGCGACGGTAGAGTCACTGTAGATTCGACACGGCACTTGCCAAGGTTTCTTAAGGGCCCATGCTGTTGCCCAGAACAGAGCTGTTTTCTCTCCGTTGACGGCTGAATGGGCTGTTGCTCCAAGGTACATGGGATCGCCTTGTAGGGCAACAGTGCCAGAGGCATAGCCACAAAAGCTGGTTCCCGCTTCCCACCTAGCAATGACAACGAAAGCCCAACTGCTTAGGGAAAGTTGATAAGAACCATCGGTGTAGATCTCAAAAGCAACAGGCAGAATGCCCTCAGCTGGAGGCTCAATGTGCCGTGTAAAAGCATCTACTGTGCTGTCGTGGAGAACAATGCTCTGTGGTAGCGGAGCTGCAAGCACCCATGGTGTCGTGAGTATGGGCAGAATGTCATCAAGGCTTTTCCCTATATTCAGGGTTTGCTGAGACAAGTCGATGGCAACGCAGGAAGGGAGCAAGGCAGCAAGGCTGATGGTCCTGCCTGTGGAAGGGCGGATCGCACACTGTTGTGGATTGGCTCCACCGAGTTGCTCGGGTTCAGGCTGGACAGGGAGCGAAGTCACGGGGGCAAGTTCATCAGTCGAATGGCCTGTATGCGCTGTTTCGCGGGCTTGGCGATGCTCTATGATGGCTTCAAGAAGAGTCCTAGCAAGGGCAAAGGCAGCATTATCAGCTTGCCGTACTGATTGTTCAAGCAGAGTGGGTCCCAGCCAGGAGGCTGGTGCATAATCCGCTGCAAAAGTGATATTGCCCTGGAACTGACTCTCATCGGCGGTCAGTATGACGGGATCTTCAACAACAGCAGCACTTGGACATGCAGATTGACCGCTGTTGTTGCCGCGGCAAGGTGTCGCAATTGGCCTGGTGAAAGGGGTAGGTGTAGCAGGTGCACTGCACCTAAACTTTCCTATTGCTGAGAGTACAGAGGTGTCAGGCTGGTGCCCAATGGGATGGGTGTGCTGAGAAGTTCCAGCCGTCCACATGTTATCTCGATCAGCAAAGGGTGTCCCAAAAGAAGGGAGGCTACATGCTAGACCCGGGTCATCAACGAGGACTGCAGCATTGGGGTAAACCAGAGCACTAAGGATGACTAAGGCAGCCCTTAAACCACCAAAGGCAGGGCGTGCACCAAGGGCATTGGCTCCATGGCTCTGTTGCCTCCCATTGCCAGACCTCCCAGCACGGTGCTGTGAGGCGTCGCTGTGTGGGTCGGGACGGCTTGCAGCGGGCCTATCAGTTCGCGCTGAAGGATAGCCACCATCGCTGGGTGTGTCTAGTGCATTGGCCTGATCCCTCGACTGTCGTTCAGCAAGTCCGGACGCATCCCATGTCCTCAAAGGTGCAGGCTCAAACGAAACAGTGAAAACCTGGCCAGGACTAAAATGCACAAAGTGTTGAAGAGGAGGGGCTTCGGGCCACCCTCCCTGACAGTGGATACGTGATCCTGGCGGGCACCGGTGCGAGAAGCGTTGTGCAACAAGACGAAGGTTGAGGACACCCTCGGCATTGGCAGCCCAGTCGATCCCAAGCATGATTGGCCTTGCATCTATGACATAGGGAAACAGACCAGTTCCGCCAGCATCGAGGCGAATTGCAAGGGAGGTGGCAATAATGGCAGTGTTAACCCACGTGCCCTTGACATTCAGGTCTGCTATGCCAGGTCTAGACGGCCGAATTCGCAGGTCAAAATCTGGCACGTGCAGGAGGCTGGCAAAGTCGTGTCGCAGGAGGTGGCGCCTTTCTCTGTCATAGAGAAAAAGGCAGGACCCCCTGTCATGCAACAAGAGAAGGTTATCACTTCGGATGCGAGTGCTTACTGGTCCGTCATGCCAATTGGAGGCATCCTGGAGCATATCACCAAGGGTGGTGATGACTGCGACAGCATGGTGGGTGGGCTGAATTGAAATGGTGTCCCCATGGTCAACCGTCAGCTCATTACCCTCAGCAAGGGGCCATGGCATGTCTCGCACGTAAACGTGGACATTTTGTCTCTGAGCAAGCCCTGCAAGTACAAGGAAGTGGTGTCGCTGTGGCCTTGGAGGGGCTAGTATGGCAAATATGCCTCGTGGGTCAACTGCATTGTCGATGACAATGCCAACGCCTGGGCCATCCCAAGGAGGCAATGCCAGAAGGATGGCATAGCCAGGCTTCGTCTGCTGGCTGGCTGGGATAAGACGTGGGAACCACTGTCGCCGTTGAGGATCCCTCGCCTGAGTAACAGTCTGCAGTGCCTCAACAATCCTACATGGCATTTGTAGCCGGACAGTGACCTGTTCAGGCTCGTAATCAGGTACGTAAATGTGGAAAGTAGCTGACACGGCCCTGAAAACGGGGGAGGCTGCTGTGTGGTGTTCTGGCTCAGTGGCAAGTTGGTGAGGGACACTTGCTGGCATGGGCTGGCCTAGTTCCTCGGTAGTAGTGGTAATCGTACCCCCGGTGCCATCCTGCCCTGTTGCGGTGTGGGGAGCATAGCCGCTCTCCCAGTCTGCATCAACAGGATCACTGGGCGCAGTGTCTCCATGCGCAGTATGTTCTTCTGCAAAGGCAGGTTCGGCGGAACTGACAAGACTGGCGACTATGATCTGGCCGGGGGCGATCCACAATACTCCCGGACCTTCCGGCTTCCCATCAAGTCGCAGTGCACAGCCACGTGGCACATAGTCCCTCAATAACCTAAAAAGAGAATCCTGACTAACAAAACCATTATGAACCGGCAGAATCTTCCACGATGCTTCGAGTGGCCTACAATCGAGGAGAGCGCAATGCCAGTTTTGCCAACGCGCTCCGGGCGGAGGATGGCATACGGCAATGACAGCGCAACATGGCACACCCAAGACGGCGACATCGGCTGGTGCAGGGGATGCAGCAAACAGGCGCATTCTTGCAGGGTCGGCTCCAGTAACACCTGCAATATTGTCTCTGTACCTCATGGGCTGTCGCGTAGCATCAACACACAACCGGGCAGGTCCCTTGTGGACTAAGCAACGGGCTTCAGAGAAGGCAACACGAGGGAGGTCGGCCTGTCGGCCCCACATCTCTCGCTGTTGAAGTACTTCTCCAATCGTGTGTTTCCGGGGAGCATCCTGACCAGGGTACTGAAAGGTGACAAGTGCTCCTGGGAAGAGATGAACTGGTTGCTCCGTGACAGGCACTTGCTCAACACTGCAAAGGACAGTGAAGTCAACACCGGCTGGCAGGCCCGCAATGGCAACCAGTTCACTCTTGCTGGCATATGCCGGTGACTGTGCAACGAAGATGCGCCCATCAACAGCAGTTGCATCAACACAGATGAGATCTGCTCCCCCCGTACATGAAGGATGTGCGATAAAGGCGGCGACCCCAAGCGACGGCTGGGGCAACACAGAAATGAGACGAGGGAAGTGGGCAGCTGAATCTCGGCTTCGTACGAGCTGCATCGCATTGACGACCTCATCCTCTGTTGCTGGTAGCGGAATTGCTATGTCGAATGTTTCTGCAGTGTATTCTAGGCGAAGGACGGCACATGTGACAAGTGTGATCTCCTCATCAAGTTCAGATTCAGAAGAAATTTGGTCACCTTGGTGCACATGCATAAGGTCAGGGAGCCGAAGGGGTGAATCAGTTATCCACTGACCTCCAAGCCTTCTAGTAACACTGCGTAGGCGTCGCAGTTCCCTTGCCTCTGCGCGATTATTGCACTTCGGCTCTCGGAGTATTTTGGCTTTTCTTGGCAAAAGATGCAAGGTGGCGTACGCAAGGAAGGGTCCGACAACGCAAAGTGCGCAACAGAGAGCAACAAGAAGCGCAATCACATAGTAAGGCTCAGGGGCCGCACGTTCCTCTGCTGGCTCCCTGACAACAGAAAGAACCTGGCCAGTGGCAGCGGTCGTTTGCGTTAGACCAAGCAAGACCCCGAGCGCAGACTGTACGAGTGCACTGCTAGATCCGGCAGCAGGGGGCCCGGTGTGTGGACCGGGTGGTGGCGACCTCGACCTGGACCTTAATGACTGTTCAAATGTATCATCAACAAACACTGGCACAGGCGGTGGTGGCCCAGCTGGCGGCAGGCTAGGGTCCGGGGCAACAGTAGGTAGCTCTGCGTCAGAGCTGGGCAGTGATTCTTCCCCTGCTTCTTCGTCTTCGGACGAACTGCTTTCATCAGTGCTCCACGGGTGATCTGGCTTGAAACCGACAACAATCACGTCCCCTTCGAAGAGGTTCATCAAACCAAGTCTGTTAGGCCGCGGGTGCATTGCTATCCGGTAGCAAGGTGGTGCACGCACATGCAAGTAGCGCGCAATCGTATGGGGGTCAGTCGTGGAAGATGGTAAGTAGATGTGGGTGACCTCCTGCCCTATTTGCCTTGGATCAAGAAAGACCAAGATCCCAGTTCTGTCAGTGGAGGGCGTAAGCGGATAAACTGCTAATGTATCCCGGCAGGCGACGCCCCTCAGCTTCACATCGGTCAAACTATTGCCTATGGGAGCAATGAAGAGGGCTCTATCAGGTGGCCTGTCGACAAGGCCAGCGAGGAACCTCAATGTCGGTATGCCTGGATGCCGTGCCGCACTATAAAGAGTGCTATGGTCATGGTAAAGGGTAAGCACAGGCCGATCATTACGAGTCTCTGGGAGCTGGGGGTTCGACAGCCACCACTGCGGGCGATCGAAGCGAGCATGTATGGTGCTATTCCACTGTGCAGGTTGTCCAACAGGCTGGAACTGCACAACCCCACCAAGGACCGCAAGGAAGGTATCGCCTGGCTCGAGGGCCCTTGAGTGTCCTTGAAAGTAAATGCAGGTGGAAGGGTATCCGTGATGTAGAGCCTCTTGGTGACACTCAAAGTGGGAGACCTGCTCATGAGTGATACCGGCATAAACTGGACCTCCTAGAGCTCTGAAGTCAAAGACAAGGACTTGCTTACAGACCTGCGGCAGCCATTTAGGCACGGAGACGACAGATGCATAATCAGGACCAAGCTGGGGCACCGTTGGGACGGTGACCGTACAGTACGGCAGATTCAATCGCTGCAAACGGTCCCTCAAGGCATTGTGAAAAGTCACAAGATCAAGAGGTGGCCTAATATCAAGGCGCAGAACCTCGTCCTGGTACCCAGGTGCTAACACCAGACAAACCCCTTCAAACGCCGGTGTTTCAAGCTGTCCGACCTCGGGTGGTGCATGCAGCGGTGGGACGGGAATGTCAGCGGCATTCTCAAGGGGCCGATTTATGTCGTTGACTTGGACCTGCCTATGGGCACTCAATTGAGCTTCCCAAGCGATTGCCTCAGCAACTCGAACAGCAGCAATGTCGTCCGGATCGGGCAGCTGCTCTGGTTGTTGCAGGATGGTTCTGTCTACTTCATGTAGGGTTTGTTGCCAGCTCTTGGGAGCCGCCCACACCTGCACAGGGAGTGAAAAGAGCAGGGGGAGAAAAAAGTTTGTCCACCTTCTGCAACCACTGGTCCTGCAAATAGGATTGCATGCTCTTTTACATGTCCTGCTGATTCTGCGTCGACCGTAGCACGCGTGGTCAGAGACCTTCCACGCTCCAGAGAATTGAGCCGCAGGTAGAAGCACTGTCTGCGGCATGCCCTGACACGGTAGGAGGAGAAGGCTTCCAAGCGGTGTATTGTGTGCCCTAAACGGTCGAATCAGAAGGCGCAAAAGGGCAAGATGGGCAAGGAGGAGAAGATGCGTAAAGAAAGCCTTGAGAGTCTGAAGGATCCACTCGCAACAGACATGGAAGAAATTGTCTTCATCACATCCTGCCTCTGAAGTCCGATTACGTCCAGGGCTGGGAATGGGCCTAAACCTTAGGGCAGAACATGTGGGGTGCTTGCTGGTGAGCGTCCCTGAGCCACCGATACGCCTCTTTGGCACACAGCAAGAACCTGTAGAGACACAGGATTGACGAAATCCTTGTTGCAAAACTGGCACGATGTGCAATGCAGCTGAACACGGACAGGGAGTGTCCGTGGCAGAAGGCGGGGGTCGCCACACCAGCATGGCAAAAAGCCATGTTGGCAAGCGGCCGGAGGAGACAGACACACTCCAAGCCCATGACTCCAAAACCCAAGGAGCCTGAGCTTGGAAGTGCCAAGCGACACTTATCTGCACCACAGCGGGAGAGGACCATCCTCGAGGAGAGCCACCTTTCTGGCATACATGCTGACTGTACACACCCTGGCAAAACTGTACAGCAGCACACGGCTCACTCTCAGAAAGAGGCTCGTAGGTGACTGCAGCAGTGCATTCCCTGCAAGGTTTGCATCCGACGAGCAACTCCGTGGACGAGATCAGTAGGACCGAAACCATGAGGTCCACTGATTTCAGCCCATTTCGGCTCACCAGATAGCCTTGGCAGGAAAAACACTGCCCAGTCCCCACGACCCCTGGCACTGGGGCTAAACGTCCAGCCTGGCAAGGCCAGGGCTGTGGGGCATACTGCCCTCGTCCACATTGACAGTGCCCTGTTGATGCCAGGGCTCTGTCTTGCCTGTATTGGCCGGTAGTGCTGTCCCTTGACCACCCCCATGGAATGGCATCATAGCCCTGCGTTTCTCTTCGAGGCGATCTGCCAGGGGGGGACCATGCGCACCTTCTTGCTGGGGGGCGTGCTTGCTGGCCTCCTTGATGAAATCTCGCGGTTGCTGCATGTGTGTGGGGACTCTTGTGCCTCCTTCTCGTTGTCCTGGGTGCTTTGGAGAAGGACGTGCTTTGTCCCCCGGTGCTGTAGTCGGCAACTCCCCGGATGGGGGTGGCTTCGGGAGAGAACCACCACCACTCTTCTGAGCTCCAGGGTTGTCCTGCGCGTGGTTGGGAGGCTCGTCTGTAATCTCCATGGCAGTGTGTTCTGGGCCCGTCCCACACCGTCGGGCTTCCCAGGCAGCATCCACCGATGAGATCATCCCTCCCACGTCTTGTCGGAGAGCCGTGTGACCCTGATACGCCGATCCCGGCATTCCAGGTGGTTCCATGGCTCTCTGTAGCACACCATCCATAGCACTCCCATCGTCCTTCTCCCAAGCTTCTTTGGTTTTCTCCCATGTAGTTTCGTCCTCCGCTCGCGTGGGCCTCCGATCCGGCAGTTGGTCCGCCGGCATTGCTTCCAGTCCCAAGTACGCACTGCGAACCAGCATGCGGGCCTTTGTCTGCTCCTCCAAGGCCTCGGCAATGTCTCTTTCGAAACGTGCTTCCGACTTGGTGAAGCGTTGTCGTTCCTTCAAAAAGGATTCCTTCATCTGCCGCTGAAACTCTTGGTACTGTGCAAACTCGCGGTCTCTGGCCTGCTGAATCCTTCCCAATTTCTGCTCCGCCCTTCTCGCACCGTTCAACAGCTCCTGAAGGTCGTGAACCATGCCACTCGGTGTGCCATACTCCGGCACGTGTGGTCCAACTGCAGGTTCCTTTGGCGCTGTTTTCGGCATGGCCGTGTAGGAAGGGAACGCTGGCGACGGGGCCCACTTGTCTTCTGGTTGTCCGCGTCTCCAAGGACGCTGCGAGGGAGAGAAAGCTCCCTTCCACAAATGATAGCCACCATAATCGGAGTGGCCACCATATCCGCGTCCTCCGCCCTTGGTTCCTCGGCCCATCTCTGAGCGGTATCGTGGCTGCGAGTGATGGTGCTGAAGCACCTGGATGTCACGGGCAAGTGGAAGTTGCCCAAGCGCTCTGCGCTTCCAGACTCGTCGTCTTAGGCGGGATCGAAGCCGCCTTTGCGCCCGGTGCCACGTAGGAGACGGCGCTTTCGTGGTTCCTACCACTGGGGCTAAAGGCTATCCTCACCTGGAGGTCTTCCTGAGCCCTTCGTACTAATATATATATATATATATATATATATGTATATATATATATATATATATATAATTCCGTACAGGATGTAGGTGACGCCTTATAGCCGATTATAGCCTTTCGATGCCTATTATAGTTGACAGGTTCTGGGGTCCCCTATAGCACGGAGTAGACGAATCGATTGGGGCTAGCTTCCTGAAGAGACTCCTACTAAAGAGTCTCCTTTAGCTTAAACCCTAAACGCTAACCCTGAGCCCTACATCCCAAACCCTAACTCCCCAAACTATTCTGCAGCCCTAGTCTTGCCCCACAGGGAAGTTATTTAGGCAGAAGGCTCGTCGCAGTTCGTCGGGACGATTTGGGCCTCAATGACTACGGTTTAACGGTTTAGGGTTTAGGGCTTAGGGCCTAAACCCTAAACCCTAAACCCTACACCCTAACCGTGTTAAGTTTAGGGTTGAGGACCTGAGGAACTCGAGGATTCAGGGTTTGGGGTCTGCGGTCAAGGGTTTACCTTAACCCTGAATAACCCACCTGCTTAGGTAGGAATCCTTACTATGATTTCCTTATAGAGGTCCTTAAAGCGTTAGGTTATTCAGGGTTTGAGGTTCATGGTTCAGGCTCAGATGCAAACGTTCGGGCGCGGTGGCATCGCGTCGAAGCGGTCCAAGCTCGGAGGATTGTTGCATTTTCTCGCCCTCGCCGCGGTCAGGCGGTCCTGCATCAGCCGCTGATTCCATCCTGATGGCATTGTCCCCGAAGTTGCTACTTAGAGGATCATGGGACTTAGTAAGTAGGTT